GGCATCACCCTGCCCACCCAGCTGCCCCTCACCAAGGTGGGAGGGACACCCGCTCCCCTCTCTCCGAGTCCCACAGTAGACCACAGCCCTAGAGGGTCAGGACGGTGGGTCGCCAGCCGAATTCCACCCTGAAAACCCACTCACGGCAGGTGATGCTGTCCCCAGTGGTGACCAGCAGGCTGGCTGGGGGCTAAAAGCCCTCCTTTGTCCCCCGTCCCATCGAGGCTTGTCATGGCCTCTCCGAGGGCAGAGCTTACACCCGGGTGCCCTGCAGGCCAGCCGCCCTGCACACAGGCTTTGGTGGAACCCCCTGATTTCACCAGCCTCCCCCCGGGAGCTGGCACTTTCTGACGGGGACATTTCCCCAAAGAGCGTCACTCCGCGGCCCTGTTCCCAGATCCCGCGGGCAGCCCCGAAGGCTGAGCGCCTGCCTGGTCAGGCCCTGCCGATGGTCCCACTCCGTGTCAACACCCGAGTCCCCATTTCCCTTAACTGGGGCGGGCTCCGAGACACGTGCGGTTTCCCCGGGGGACACCAGGCTGCGCGGTCGGGGCGTCACTTGCTGGATTCTTGGGGTTGGGGCGTCCTGCGGAGGACGGAGCCAGGGTGACCCGCGCAGCCGGGCCTCCCTGGCCACTGCAAGAATGAGGGCGGCATGCTGGCCGCCACCCACCAGAGCCCGGAGAGCAGAGGAGACCTCCCAGACGGCTCAGCCCCGCCCCTTTCCCTGCGCAGTGCGAGGAGAGAGTCTTGAAGAAAATCCGCCGGAAAATCCGCAACAAGCAGTCAGCTCAAGAAAGCAGGAAGAAGAAGAAGGAGTACATCGATGGTCTTGAAACTCGGTAACGCGGGGCGGGGTTGGACCTCGCACTCGGGGAAACCGAGGCTCAGAGAGAGGGACACCAGGTGCCGAGGGTCACAAGTGCTAGGCCCTGACAAAATCAGCGTCGTTTCCCCTCGAGAAAGAGTGTTCCCTACGAGGACTCAAGGATCCCCGGAGATGGCTTGGGCAAGGGTCCTGGGGTCCCTGTGCCCCGAGGACATGAAGCTCCTCTCCGCCGGCGCTGGAGAATGGTGCTGCTTCTGAGAGCACTGGCCGCGGGAGGCAGAGGGGGACCGCGCTGTCCCCAGGGAGCCCCGGGCTGGCCCCTCGCCCCTCGGAAGGCGCTGAGGGTCCGCAGGGGCCAAGCTCTTCGTCCTTTGATACAAACAGCAAAGGCGGCCCCCTTTCCAGGCCCACAGTGGCCTTGTTGGATGCTGCGAGTCTGTTTGGGTTTTCCGTTTCCTCCAGTCGGTTTCCACGTCCTGGGTCCTGGGAAGTCCTCGTGGCACACGGAACTGTCCCTACTCTCTGCTGTTTCAGGCTCTGACGTCCGGGTCTGTCGTCACGTCCTCTGAATTCTTCATGTTGTCTACTTGTGCCTTCTTTTACTTTTTGATCAATCTTCCCAGAATTTTGTCTGTTTTATTCTTCTTATCAAATGAGTGTTATGGAAATAATTCCTAACCACGGTTCCCATCAAATAATAAATTTCTGTCTTTTCTTCCCAACTAATTATACACATATATATGTGAAATTTGGCACTGGGGAGTAACCCAGGGGCAGGTGATTTACCACTGAGTCACACACATCCCCAGAGCTTTTTAAAAAATATTTTATTTTTTAGTTACAGTTGGACACAACACCTTTATTTCATTTAGTTGTTTTTATACGGTGCTGAAGATCAAACCCAGGGCCTCGTGCTACCGCTGAGCCACAACCCCAGACCCTCCCTAGTCCTTTTTGTTTTTTTGTTTTGAGACAGGATCTCACTAAGTTGCTTAGAGCCTAAATTGCTGATGCTCGCCTTGAATTTGCAATCCTCCTCCCTCAGACTCTGAGTCACTGGGACTACAGGCATGCACCACCGTGCCTGGCCATAGCCTCTAGTCTTTGAGGGACTTATTCTGTTGTTCTCTGACTATTGTTTAAATGTGCCTGCTCAGCTCTGGGGCTGGATCAGGGCTATGCATTTCCCTCTCGGCACTGCATTAGCTGCATCCCACTTTGAGGGGGTGTGTGGACCGAGGGTCTCACACATGCTGGGCAAGCATTCCTCCCCTGACGTGCACCCCCAGCTCTTTAAAACTTTGAGACAGGGTCACACTGAGTTGCCCAGGCTGGCCTCAAACTTGGGAACCTCTTGCCCAGCCTCCTGAGTGGCCAGGACGACAGGTGCATATCACCAGGCCTGGTTTAAAGGAGCACTTTTCACTGGGGGAATTCATTCCTTTCCAGTTGCTATGTTGGGCCTACTTTCTGCAAAGGGACTGTGGATCCTTATGCACCACCCTGCAGAACAGCACACGACCCATCTGCTACCTGTGGGGAAAACAAGCCGATGGTCCAAGAGTCTCTGGCCTCAAGAGGAGGACTTTCCCTTAGGAGCCCGTGTTCCCGCTCCCCATTCCCAGTGCTGGGTGGACCCCTGCCCTTGGGTGGAGACGGCCGCCGGCCCACCTCATGCTCATTCTCAGCCCAGTGGGACATTTCAAGTCTGCACCCGAGTGTTCTGACTTAAGGCCACTGATGCTAACGGGGAACATGGGTGCCAGCTGCACCCAGGCCAAGATGGGGGCTTGCCTCTGCCCTCTTCCCTGCTTCCCCCCGTGGTGCTGGGGTGGAAGGTGGGCCCTCGTGCTCAGCACCTGCCTGCCGCCCAGCCTGGAGGGGCTGCAGGTCGCGAAGGGCCAGGGCTTCAGCTGGGGTCTCCAACTCTGACTGAGTCTGGCACTCAGCCCTGGGGCTCAGCCGTGGTGGAAGCCCACCCCACGGGGACCCGGAAACCGACAGACCTGGGCTCCCGTCCTGGCCCTGCACAGGTGCCCAGGCGTGTGCTGTGGTCCCCAGCTACCAGGGGACTGAGGCAGGAGGCCTTTGCTCTCTGGCTTGGGGCCTCCCAGGGAAACATCAGTGGGGACAGTTGGTGACAGGCAAATTCTGCAAGTCACCAGGTCATTCACGGTTCCTTCAGGATGTCGGCCTGCACTGCCCAGAACCAGGAGCTACAGAGGAAAGTCCTGCAGCTGGAGAAGCAGAACCTGTGAGTCCACGTCCGGGGTTGTGGGGGCGCAGGAAGTGGGGAGGGTGCCACGGGGCAGGGAATGAGCCCCAGCTCGGTGGGGGCCATCTGTGCAAAGGCCCTGGGGCAGAGGAGGTGGGGGAAGGAGGCGAGGCAGGCTGGGAAGGGCCCCCTGGGCCACAGGGAGGACTTGGGCTTTGGCTTCGTGGTGGCCAAGCACCCCCTGGCCGGGTCTGAGCCTGAACGCAGGAGAGGGGCAGGAGAGCCGCAGGGGCCACAGAAGGGCGGGGTGGCCTTCTCGTGAGCCATGATGGAGGCGGGCGGGAGCAGTGGGACCCTGAGGGAGGGTGGAACCCAGACTTCGGTGAGGCTGGGGCCTGGGGAATGGGCAGGAGCAGGGCCAGGCCCCGCAGGCTCAGCGGCCCCTGTCCCTCCGAGGTCCCTGCTGGAGCAGCTCAAGAGGCTGCAGGCCATGGTGGTCCAATCCACCACCAAGTCTGTGCACACGGGCACCTGCACCGCGGTGAGTCCTCTCCCCTGCCCGCGGGCGGGGCAGGCAGGTCCCCGGGGAGGGGTCTGCAGGAAGTGATGGCCAGCACCGCACTGGGGTCCCGGCCTGGCCTCCCGCCCTGTGGAGGGGACGCAGGTGACCGCCCCCTCTCCGGCAGGTCCTGCTGCTGTCCTTCGCCCTCATCGTCCTCCCCTCCATCAGCCCTTTCGCCGCCAACAAGGCCGAAAGCCCAGGGGACTTCGCTCCCGTGCGAGGTGAGTGCCTGCCCCCCACCTCTTCCTGGTGCACCTGGACCCTGGGAGACCTGTGTCCCAGCGTCCCGAGGCCGGGGGCCGGGGAGAGGGCCACAGGACTCTGCCCCCTGCAGCGTCCCTCCTGAGTCCCCGAACTCTGCTCAGTCTTCTCCAGGACGCTGCACAACGATGCCTCGTCCCGGGTGGCCCCGGACGACGATCTGGCCTCCAAGGCCCCAGGCCCCTGGCCGGACGCTGCTGTGCCCCACAAAGGGCCCCCGGGCGGCCTTTGGACGGACTGGGGCTTCCTGGACATGCTGGCACTGGGCGGGTCAGCAAAGGAGCTGGACAACTCGACCGAGGAGCTGGGCCCGGCCACCGTGCTGGACTGGGTGGCACCTGAGCCGGTGCTCAGCACAGGACGCGCGGGGCTGGAGGCGGCGGGGGAGGAGCTCTGAGATCCCCGGTGTGCCTCCAGGTCCCTGCCCAGGCCACCTGGGGGTGCCCAAGTGGACGGCAGGCCCTGATGGACACGCTCAGACCCATAGCTCACTGCAGGGACAGACGGGAGCTGGCCTAGGTGTGGCCGCAGCGCCCCAGGCCCAGGGCTGGCCGCCGGCTGTGACCTGCGCCTGGGTGCCCCTCGGCCTCCCTGCTCACTGGGCAGAGGAAGCTGTCCAGCCTCAGGGACCCTGGACTTCTGAGTGGCCGCAACCCGCCACCACCCTTTTCTAAGACTGCGTGACCGTGAATAAAGTATTTTGACAGAGCTCGGCTGGGGGCGCTCAGGGGACCTGGGGGGTGGAGTGCGGCCCCCCGCCCGGCAGCTTCAGCACCTTGGAGAAGGGCAAGGGCCGGGCGGGATCCCTGGAGCCCAGAAGTGGGACCTGGGGACCCTGCCGAGGGGCTCATTTTAAGATGAGAAAACCAGGTCGAGGTCACAGGCGGGGAGCAGGGACAACCCGACCCACCCCACCCCCACGGGCTGCGCAGGGGCCAGGACCCACCAGGCGGGGCCTCTCTCCTCCAGGGACACCCCACTGGGGGCAGAGGGCAATCAATCCAATAAAGGGCGTAACCAGGGCCCTAACCCTAACCCTAACCCTAACCCCAGCCCCAGGATGGCGGGTGGGGAGGGGGTGAAGCCCTCCCCTGTCCCCAGGGTGCTGACCAAGGGACTGCAAGGCGCCCAGCTGCAAGGAGTCTGTCTTTATTGCGTTGAAGACTTGGGGAGGCCCGGGACCCTCTCCCCGCAGCCCTGCCCTCAGCTGGGGGGGGGGTCCGGCTCCCCGTGGGGGTCCCTGAAGGTGGCCTTGGGAGGCAGATCAAGAGCTGATGGGGAGGGAGTGTGCGGAGTCCCCAGAGGAGCCCAGGGCCCAGGGCGCTCCCCCTTAGGCTGGAAACTGGGGAGGAGGGCGTCTGCCACCCGCTCCCAGAAGTCCTGAGTCGGAGGCTGGCCGTGGCGGGCAGCAGGCCTGGGTGGCACTGCGGGCCGGGCTCTTCCTGGGCTCCCCAGAGGCCCAAGAGCCAACCACACAGTGGAGGCCCACCACCCTGGGCCTGGAGTCCTGCTCTCAGCTCCCTGAGATCCCCGGGGACAGGGACAAGTAACAGTGAGACCGTAAGAAAGAGGAGTCCATGGTTTCCGTGAGAGCCCGGCCCAGCGCCTGGTCAGCTGGGTGCCGCCTCGGCCTTCACCCTCTTGGGAGGCTGGCGGGGGGCAGGGCTGTCTGGCGGCTCCCTCTTGGGGCTGGGGGGCTTGCAGCCATTGTGCTGGGCCCGGGGCTCCACACTGGGCTCCTGCCCGGGGTCGCTAGGGGGCTCCTCCTTGGGCTCCAGCTTGGGAGCCAGAGGGCGCGGCAGGGGTGGCAGGGCCCGGTCCAGCACGCGGGGCCCATCCCAGGCGGGGATCTCCAGCCCCAGGTGCTTCATGAGTCGGGTCATGACCTGGTCTACGTAGCCGTGGATGCGCAGGTCAGCATGGCGGTCCTGCAGGGCGAGCAGGGTCAGGCGGGGCAGAGGCCCAGGGGCCCCGGGCAGGGGTGGGCTCGGCACCTACGTGCTTGGTGGGCTGGAGGTTCACGATGACCAGCCGGCCTCCCCGGCGCTTGGTGGCCAGTGGCAGGTTCCCACTGGGCCGGATTTGCAGGGAGGTGCCCAGGGTGATGGACAGGTCGGCGGTCCTGGGGTCAGGAGCACAGGCTCAGTCCAGCCCCGCCCAGCCCCCTGCCGCCCAGGAGTCCAGCTGCCGGAGTCCCTGCCCACCCCGTCCCCACCCTCACCCCGGGCACAGGGGTCCCACCTGCTGGCCTCGTCGGCTCGAGCCAGGTCCCGGTCGGGCAGGGCATCTTCCCAGTCCAGGATGGTGTCTCTCAGCTCCCCCCTGTGGGCAGTGGAGGGTCAGCGGGCCCCATGGCCCCGGGGCTGGGGGGTGGGGAGGGTCACTCACCTGCAGGCCCGCAGCCCTCTTGCCTTGGCCATGGTGCAGAGCCGGCCGGTGGCCTTGAGGCCCATGGTGCCCACCACGGTGTCCCGGACATACTGCCTGCGCCAGGAGGAAGGAGGCAGGACAAGGGTCTCGCGGGCCGCCCTGAAGCCCCCGGCAGCGCTGGGCTTTCTCCGAGAAGCTCTCGGGGAAGGGGGTCCCTGAACCAGGACCCGAGCAGGAGGCATCCGCAGACGGGAGGGGACCAGGAGAGGCCCAGTGGCCAGCGCTCACCTGGCACGAGAAGCCAGGCCCTGGGTCCTTCCCCGCGCAGAGCCACGCCAGAGACCAAGGCTCTGCAACTCGGGAAGGGACGCTGCGGCCTGGGACCCGGGCACCCCGAGTCAGGGCACTGGACGGAGGTCTGCAGCCAGCAACCTGGAAGGTCAGCGGCCAGAGTGGGGGTCACTCCCTGTGGTGGGCTGGACTGTGTCACCCAAAAGGACACGCTGAAGCTTAAGCCCAGTGACCCACAGGGTGACCCTGTCTGAAAGCGGGGTCACTGTGGGTGTGGTCAGTTGAGACAAGGTCCTACCAGAGGAGGGGACGGCTGGTCCTCCAAGAAGGGAGAAGACACACAGGAGACAGCCATGTGACCTTGACCACGCAGGCTGCGGTGGGGCCACGGGAGGAGCCCCGGAGCAGGGAAAGTGGCCCAGCAGCCTCCAGTGACAGCAGCCCCAGGCAGCAGGCCACCAGGTCTCCCACGCCCCTGGGTCTCCGGGAGCATCAGACTGGACTCCCAGGGCCCCGGCAGCTGGGTCACTGTCACCAGCCCTCCCACCAGCCAGAGCAGCCTTCCCCCACCTGCTGTCATGCACAGCCAGCCTGTCCCCCCCGACACCCACAGCCAGCCTATCCCCCCCCAATGACACACACAGCCAGCCTGTCCCCCCCGACACCCACAGCCAGCCTATCCCCCCCCAATGACACACACAGCCAGCCTGTCCCCCCCCAATGACACACACAGCCAGCCTGTCCCCCCACCAATGACACACACAGCCAGCTTGTCCCCCCCAATGACACACACAGCCAGCCTGTCCCCCCCCAATGACACACACAGCCAGCCTGTCCCCCCCCAATGACACGCACAGCCAGCCTGTCCCCCCCCAATGACACGCACAGCCAGCCTGTCCCCCACCAATGACATGCACAGCCAGCCTGTCCCCCCACCAATGACATGCATAGCCAGCCTGTCCCCCCTGACACCCACAGCCAGCCTGTCCCCCCACCAATGACACACACAGCCAGCCTGTCCCCCCCAATGACACACACAGCCAGCCTGTCCCCCCATGACACACACAGCCAGCCTGTCCCCCCCAATGACACACACAGCCACCCTGTCCCCCCATGACAGGCACAGCCAGCCTGTCCCCCCCCACCTGCTGACACGCACAGCCAGCCTGTCCCCCCCACCGATGACACCCACAGCCAGCCTGTCCCCTGCCACTCACGTCCTGCACTTGACACACTCTTCTACAAACATGTTCCCGTGCAGCTCAGCCAGCTTGTCCCTGTGCGAGAGGAAGGAAGAGGCCTGCTGGGGGGCTCCCTGGGTGCCTAGGCCCCGCATCCACAAGACCAAGCCACTCCCCCCACCTTCCAGCCCCCCATCCATGCGCTGTGCATCCCTGCACAGTGGCCCAACCTCTCTGTGCCTCTCTCACTCTCTTCACGGCTGACCCCACCTCTGCAGATGGGCAGCCATTCTCGTCGTAACATGCCTGCCCCCTTCCAAAGTGTAGGAGGCTGCTGGGCCACCCGGTTGGAAGGACAGGGTTGGAATTCCAGCTGGCGATGAAAGAAATGTGGCATGCGTGGCCCCGGAGCACAGGCTTTGGGGCAGGGAGTGAGAACAAATCTGCTGAGCAACCCTGAGCCAGCCTCTTACCCACTCTGTGCCTCAGTCCCTCTCTGTGGAATGAGACAGTGACATCCAAGTCTTTGGATGTCAAGGGTTCCCAACAAGAGGCGTGGCAGGTGCTTCCCTGTGGCTCCCCTGCCACCTCCCGGCGTCCCCGCTGCAGTGCCACCTCCACAGGGGAGCCCTGCTGACGGCCCCTTCACAGCCACAGCTTCCCAGCGCCCACTGTGTGTACTCCAGGATGGGGACCTCCTGACACAGGTCCAGGGACCCCACTTCTGCCCCACCGAAGCACAGACCCTGGACACAGGGAACAACTGCCATCTGTCTGGTCCATTCCATGTCCTGCACTAGAAGAGCGTGGCACGCAGTAGGAGCTCAATAAGTAAACACCCGCGCTGGGGCCAGCTTGCTCCTGCGTGTGAGGGCTGGCGCTGGGAGCCTGGGTGCAACTGTGTGCCCAAGAGGCCACCTGGGTGTCTCTGTACCCCGTCAAAGGCCCATCCCGCGTGCTCAGGTGTGGCAACCAGGCCTGACCTGCAGCAGCTCGGGCTCCGTCCACCCACAACCACGGGGTCCTGGGGCAAGGAGGGCACTCGGGTGTGGACCAAGTCTGGGCTGCAGCAGGGCTCAGGGGCAGCACCAGGACCTGGGCTCCACCAGCACCAGAAAGGAGGGCATCTTGAAACCCAGCAAGCGGCAAGCTCAGGACCCGCCCTGACACCCGGCACACCCCAGGGGACTCACACCTGAGGAGGTCACACCTGAGGGGAGTCACACCTGAGGGGAGTCACACCTGAGGGGGTTCACACCTGAGGGGAGTCACACCTGAGGAGGTCACACCTGAGGGGAGTCACTCCTGAGTGGGTTACACCTGAGGGGGTTCACACCTGAGGGGAGTCACACCTGAGGAGGTCACACCTGAGGGGAGTCACACCTGAGGAGGTCACACCTGAGGGGAGTCACACCTGAGGGGAGTCACACCTGAGGAGGTCACACCTGAGGGGGTTCACACCTGAGGGGAGTCACTCCTGAGGAGGTCACACCTGAGGGGAGTCACTCCTGAGGTGTTACACCTGAAGGAGTCACACCTGAGGGGAGCAACACCTGAGGGGAGCAACACCTGAGGGGGTTCACACCTGAGAGGAGTCTCACCTGAGGGGAGTCACGACTGAGGGGAGCAATGCCTGGGGGGGTCACACCTGAGGGGAGTCACACCTGAGGGAGTCACACTTGATGGGGTTCACACCTGAGCGGAGTCTCACCTGAGGGGAGTCATGATTGAGGGGAGCAATGCCTGAGGGGGGTCACACCTGAGGGGAGTCACACCTGAGGGGGATCACACCTGAGGGGAGTCACACCTGAGGGGAGTCACTCCTGAGGGGGTTACACCTGAAGGAGATACATCTGAGGGGAGCAACACCTGAGGGGAGCAACACCTGAGGGAGTCACACCTGAGGGGAGCAACATCTGAGGGGGTTCACACCTGAGAGGAGTCTCACCTGAGGGGAGTCACGACTGAGGGGAGCAATGCCTGAGGGGGTCACATCTGAGGGAGTCACACCTGAGGGGAGTCACACCTGAGGGAGTCACACCTGAGGGGGTTCACACCTGAGGGGAGTCACTCCTGAGGAGGTCACACCTGAGGGGAGTCACTCCTGAGGTGTTACACCTGAAGGAGTCACACCTGAGGGGAGCAACACCTGAGGGGAGCAACACCTGAGGGGGTTCACACCTGAGAGGAGTCTCACCTGAGGGGAGTCACGACTGAGGGGAGCAATGCCTGATGGGGGTCACACCTGATGGGAGACACACCTGAGGAGGTCACACCTGAGGGGAGTCACACCTGAGGGGAGTCACTCCTGAGTGGGTTACACCTGAAGGAGTCACACCTGAGGGGAGCAACACCTGAAGGAGTCACACCTAGGGGAGCAACACCTGAGGGGGTTCACACCTGAGAGGAGTCTCACCTGAGGAGAGTCACGACTGAGGGGAGCAATGCCTGGGGGGGGTCACACCTGAGGGGAGTCACACCTGAGGGAGTCACACTTGATGGGGTTCACACCTGAGAGGAGTCTCACCTGAGGGGAGTCATGATTGAGGGGAGCAATGCCTGAGGGGGGTCACACCTGAGGGGAGTCACACCTGAGGGGGATCACACCTGAGGGGAGTCACACCTGAGGGGAGTCACTCCTGAGGGGGTTACACCTGAAGGAGATACACCTGAGGGGAGCAACACCTGAGGGAGTCACACCTGAGGGGAGCAACATCTGAGGGGGTTCACACCTGAGAGGAGTCTCACCTGAGGGGAGTCACGACTGAGAGGAGCAATGCCTGAGGGGGTCACATCTGAGGGGAGTCACACCTGATGGGGTTCACACCTGAGAGGAGTCTCACCTGAGGGGAGTCACGATTGAGGGGAGCAATGCCTGAGGGGGGTCACACCTGAGGGGAGTCACACCTGAGGGAGTCACACCTGAGGGGAGTTTTGCCTGAGGGGAGTCACGACTGAGGGGAGCAATGCCTGAGGGGGGTCACAACTGAGGGGAGTTACACCTGAGGGGGATCACACCTGGGGGGTTCGCACCTGAGAGGAGTCTCACCCAAGGGGAGTCAGGACTGATGGGAGCAATGCCTGAGGGGGTTCACACCTGAGGGGAGTCTCACCTGAGGGGAGTCACGACTGAGGGGAGCAATTCCTGAGGGGTGTCATACCTGAGGGAGTCACACCTGAGGAGGGTCACATCTGAGGGAGTCACACCTGAGGGGAGTAACACCTGAGGGAGTCACACCTAAGGAGGGTTCACACCTAAGGAGGGGTCACACATGAGAGTCACAACTGGGGGGTTCACACCTGAGGGGGTTCACACCCGAGGGGAGCAATGCCTGAGGGGAGCACACCTGAAGGAGTCACACCTGAGGGGGATCACACCTGAGGGGGGTCACACCTGAGGGAGTCACACCTTAGGGGAGTCACACCTGAGGGGGGTCACCCCTGAGGGGAGTCACACCTGAGGGGAGCAATACCTGAGGGGGGTCACCCCTGAGGGGAGTCACACCTGAGGGAGTCACACCTGAGGGAGTCACACCTGAGGGGAGTCTCGCCTGAGGGGAGCCACCCTGGGGACGCTCCACCTCCACCAGCCTGGCTGATCTGAGGGGCAGCTTCTCCCAGCAGGTGGAGAAAGACCTGGAAGCCCCGGGTCGGGGGGCGTGCAGAGCTGTGATGAGCCCCAGGAGCGGGGGACCCAGGGTGTGGTGCCCCAGGCCGGGGGCAGGCAGAGCCAGTCACCTGGGGAAGCCGGAGCGCACGTGCAGCCCGTCCACGTTCTGACTGACCAGGAAGCGGAGGAGGCCCACCCGCTCCAGCTGCACCAGCGCCATGTGCGTCTTCGTGGGCCGCGCGCTCTCAAAGGTGGTGTCGAACTGGGGGGTCAGGCCGCGCTCCTCCATGGTCCAGACGCCGCGGGGGCCCCTGGAGGTGCAGGGGGGAGGGTTTGGAGGAAACAGGCGAAGGCAGCCAAGGAGACAGAATTGGAGCCAATGAGACAAAGAATCAGAGGAAGGCAGAGCAGAGCGGACGGAGAGAGAGCCAGAGGGAAGGACAGGGACAGACAGAGCAGGCAGGGACAGGAAGGCAGGTCCAGAGCACGGAGCGCAGGCCGGTCAAGCTGACCCTGGCTACACTGGTGATGCTGGGGTCACAGCAGACCCCTGCCCTGCCCTCAAGGAGTTATGGGGGAGACACAGCTGGACTCTGGCCCTCCAGCCCTGCAGGTCACAGGGAGGGACCCAGAGCTGGCCTCACTGGGGACTGTGGGGGAGGAGGGCGGCCTCTCCACTCAGACAGAGGGGTAAACACAGGCTGGCAGGGTCTGGGGGCCACAGCAGGGGAGCAGGGCAGTGGCTCAGGGCTGGGCCTGAGCCCAGGAGGGCACCCAGTGACCGTGACCTGTGACCGGTGACTGTGATAGGGGAGCCGGGCGGGCAGGGCTCAGGCCTCAGGACCTCGGCAGCCCTGGGTCGCCGGTCCCGCTGGGAGGGTCTGGGCCTGGGGCCCAGGAGGCTCTTGGGAACGGGCCACGGTCTGGCCGCGGTTGAACCCCCCCCCTTCCAGCAACAAGACCCCCGACTGGGGCAGCTGCTGGACTCGGGCAGTCTGGACAGCACCTGGCCCACCTGCCCAGAGGACCAGGAGATGGAGGCTCCCAAGGGCAAGGCCTGCCTGGCCCCGCCCTCCTGGCAGTGAGAGCAGACCTGACGTCCCTGTGGCCACAGGACCCTGTGTGACCAGCTGGCTGCCCCGCAGGTGCCGTCGGAGGGCGGCCACACTTCCCAGCACCCCTCGCAGCCAGGCGAGTTCAGGGCCAGGTTCTGACCCCCGGGGGGACAGCACAGCGGGCTGTGGTCCCAGGGACCCCCTGACCCCGGGTCCCTCGGCCGGGGGACACACACCTGAAGTCAGGGATGCCGGCGCCCGTGCTGATGCCCGCGCCCGTGTGGAACACCACGTGGGAGGCCCGCGACACCAGCAGCGCCAGCTGCCGCACCTTGCGCTCCAGCTCCTCCGGGGGGTCGAAGATCTGCGCAGCGACAGGCAGTCAAGTGAGTCCCCGGAGTCCCCGAGTGGCAGGGTCAGGCCTGTCCCGCCCGGGGGAGGGGCGGTGAGAGGTGGCTGGTCCTCAGCTCCGTCCTGCTCCCTGCTCCCCGGCCCCAGGTAACACCTGGTCACAGGGCGCGCGGTGCTGCCCGTGGTGCTGCCCGTGAGCCACCTGGGGGCAGCGGGCTCAAGGGCGGGCTCCCTGGAGTCCCCGCGGGGCTCCTGCTGCAGCCGCGGGCGAGCTGGACGGCCGCGGCCGGCGCCCGGGCTGCAGGAGAGGGGCCGGGGGCCCAGCTCGGAGCCCAGGCCCGTGCGCAGGGCAGCTTCCCCGCACTTGCCCTCCGGGGGCGCAGGGGTCTCGGCCACCGGCCATCTCGACCCCTCCCGCTCAGAACCCTTCCCAGTCCCCGGGATCAGGGGCCACGCCCCAGCCTGGCACGGAGTCCCGGTCCGGCTTGGTGGGTTACGCCCGCCTCCCACCGGGGCCCTGCCGTTGCTTTCGCTGGAATCACACCCCCCCCTCCTCTCCCATCAGCCGGGCAGACCTTCCCCAACCCGGTCCCTCTCTCGGCCCCGCCCCCTCCTCCCTGGGAAGTCCCTCCCATTGTCTAGCCGGGGTGCCTCCTGAGATTCCCACAATGCCCCGCAACCGCCCGACCCCGCCACGCCCGCGGCGACGGCCTTCGGGAACCCCGCGGCGCTCACCTCGGGGAGGCCGCACTTGCCCTTATCCGCATACGGCGACAGCCCGGCCGCGTAATTCACCGACATCGTCGCCGCCCGGACGGAACAATAAAGTTTCCCTTGTTGAGGTCGCTTCCGCCGGAAATGGAGCCGGGAGGAGGGAGGAGCCGCGCGGCTGGCCGCGCCCCGCAGACGCAGGCGCCGCCAGTGACGCCGCAGGCGCCAGATTTAGTGCTGGAAAAGAGCCGCTGGTTGGCTTGCGCGGGCCCCGGGGGTGGGGATGCGCGGTGGCCCCGGCGGGGAGCCCCCCACATGAGTTCTCCAGTCACCCCCAAAGTGAGGGAGCACACTAGGGAACTTCATGAGGACAGTGCCATGGAAAGGGGACCCAGGACCCCAGTGCAAGGGAGGGTCTCGAAGCCACTGAGTGGTCTGAAGGCCATCCAGGCGGATGAGCTGCTCCAGCAGGGCAGGCCGTCGCTGCGCCTAGAGAAACTGCCCATGGCTTCGGGGCGGTGGCTTGAGGCCCCTGCCGTCCCTGCTGGAGCTAGGGAGTGCCAGAGAAGGAGGACGTCGCCCACCTTACCCGCGGGCTGGCTATGGGCACAACGTGGCCAGGCAATGGTGACACCTGCGATTAGATGTAATGGGTGCGCAGAGGGCACAGGGCCACGAGGGTGTCCAGCCTGGGACACCTGAAGGGCAGCCTGGAGGAGGGCTGTTGCAGCAAAGGTCTGGAGATCCAGCGCTGTCCGATAGAAGGAGGGTGACGCGAGGGTGGAAAGGGCTTCCTGGCAGCAGAGGCTGCAGGTGACAGGTGGGAGGAAGGGCAGAGCAGCTCCTTCCAGAAACCGATCAGTCCAGGGATGATGGAGAAGAGCCCCAGTCCTCCCTCTGGCCCGTCCGCCAGCCTGTCTCCTCCCTCAGTACATCCCAGCCCCTTGGGGCGCGCTCAGAGCTGATCGGGTGTCAGAGCTGAGTAACTGCTGGAAGCTGCTGGTGCAAGCTCGTGGCCCAGCTGGAAGTGGGTAACCGGAGCCGCAGTGGGCTCAGAGGCCTGGCGCAGGGCACTGGAGCTGCAGGAGGTAGGAGAGGAGGCCTGGGCTAGAGGCTCCCGTAGGGCCCGCAGCTCCGTTGGAGGAGGGAGAGGCTGCCGCACCCCGCGCACCCACACACGCACGCACCCTCACAATGCGCGGCCTTCCCGCTGGCCGCTGGCCTTTACCTGGCTGGAGAGGCGCCACCTCGCCTGCCACCACCGCTTAGCACCCAGCTCCCTGGCCACCAGGTTCTCCCTGCTGACCATCATCTCTTTCAGGAAGCCGCTCCCTAAAATTAGAGGGCACTGCCCCCTCTCCCAGCCTGCAGATCCCCTCCTTCCCAGGCAAACTGTGGGCTTCTCTCCTGGGTGTCTCATTGCACCCACTTTGGGGTGGAATGCAGGAAAATGGGTGATGGGTGGTGGTGAGTGAATAGGCACATCGGTTGGTGCAGGGTGTCTAGGGGAGTGGATAGGTGGGTGGGGAGGTGGAGAGGGAAGAGATGGGGTGGGCAGGTGGGTGGCAGGTGGAGGTATTATGGGTGGGTGATGGTGGATGGGGGTGGGTGAAGCGTGACTGAGGGTGATGAAGAACCGTGACCAGATGAGTGAGCAGGACTGGTGGGTGGACGTGCAGGTGGGCACCCAGCAGTAGGAGGACTTGGAGGAGCTGTGAGCAGGTGAGGGCCCGTCCCACCCCACTCCCTGCACCTCCCTGGAGATCCTGCTAGGACAGGGGGAGCCCCTGGCACTGGCAACCCCCGAGCCATTCCTGCCCTGCCGCTTTAGCCATGTGTGCACAGGATGGACCAGGTGTGCACACGCGTGCACACAGCCATTGCCACAGACCCCTGGTGTGGCAAGTTGCTGCTGTTCACCCAGAGAACAGACCGACATGAGGGGACTGGGAGGAGGTTCTCTGCAGAGGACCCTCTGCCGGGGCCAGTGCCCACGAAGGGGAAGGCAGAACCAGCCCTGACCCTCCCTCGCAGCAGAGCCAAGGCAGAGGGGACGAAGGCGCCACCTGGAGGGAGCGCGGCTACTTTCCAGAGTTAGAGCTCTGCCTAGAAGTGAGAGGCCAAGTTGATCAAAGCATGGGATTTTGGAACTGGGTGAAATGAAAGGAAGTCAATCTTGATAAGAGTGACCACACAGCCTGGAGATCAGCTCCATCTGCACCCGCAGATGTAGTACTGGTAGAGTGTATTCACTGAGCCCCTATTATTTGCCATACTGTGCTAAGGACATCACTGGAAATCGACCACTAGTTGGTCAAGTAGAAAATATTGCCAGGCACAGTAGTCACACCTGTCATCCCAGATGCTCAGGAGGCTGAGGCAGGAGGATCACAAGTTCCAGGCCAGCCTCAGCAACTCTATGAGGCCCTGTCCAAAAAAAAAAAAAAAATTAAAAGGGCTGGGGGGTGTGACTCAGTGGTAGACTGTCCCTGGGTTCAATCCCTAGTACAACAACAACAACAACAACAAAGGAATTATCTCCCTCATTTTATAGATGAGGGAGGTGAAACTCAGAGAGGGCAAATAACCTGCCAAAGGACCCACAGCAGGTAAGAGATGGAGCAGGTCCCTTTCTTGCTTCAGGGACCAGAACTGCCCAAGGAAGAGGAAGTGGTCCTCTTTCAGAGGGGAGGCAGCTGACCTGCCATCCACCAGGACTGGTGTCCTTCACCCTATTCCACCACTGCCCTCCCCAGGTGGCTTGGGAGGAGAAGGAACACCAGACACTGGCAATGAAGACCCTTCGGGCTCGATTTAAGAAGACAGAGGTGAGTGAGACCCCAAGATGCCCAGCCACCCCCAAACAAAGGCTCCTGCCTCCCAGGGCTTGGCCAAAGATGCGGTGAGACTCTGGACCCTGTCGCCTGCCCCTCATCAGATTGATCTTTACCCAGCCTTGATAAGGCCAGGGCCCAACCTGCTCAAGGCTCTTGAGGGCTCCTCCCCACCCCCACCCCACCCTGTCAGGTTCTTGGCCTCTGGCCTCTGCCTGCGGTGGTTCCCTGTGCACTCCCTCCACCTGGGCTGCCCTGTCCCCATGGCCGCCCTCACAATTTGCCTCCAGTAGCGCCCCTATGCTCCACCAGCCTCGACGACCACGCGCTCCTCTGAGGACCCCGTTTCTCAGAGTCCTGAGCGCTCGCCTCCAGCAAATGTGTCTGAGATGGCGATCCAGGCACACAGGGGAGGGCCTCGGGAGGGCGGGGAGACCCGGGAGACCCTGCCTGGTGCAGCCGGCGAGATAAGCCCGAGAAGAGGCAGATTTTGCGGCACAGAGACAAATAGAACGAGGAAGGGATTCCAAGCTCAGGAGTCCGGGGAGTAGCCAGGGGTGCCCGGGGGAAGGTGACCCCAGAGCAAAGAGTGGAGTAGGAGGGGGTGGGAGAGAATGTGGTGGGTGGGCGGGACGCCCTTGCGGCCTTGGGGGACTCTGAACCCCAGAGAGGGATGCTCTTTGCCCCATTACCCCGGCCCCTCCTCGTGCCCCCGAGTTGCGACCAGCATGTGGGCTGCCCCCATGCACGGGCAGAAAGAAGCCCCGTGAGGCATCTCACTGGGTTGGCAGCCAGCCTTCCCCAGGCCTCAGGTGCCCGGCCTGGTCGGGCTTGGCTTGTGACTGAGGAGGAAGCCAGGCCTGGAGAGGCTGACTCACCTTCCTGGTCACCAAGCAAAGTGGCTAAGGGGAGATGCACACCGCGTGGCAGAGTCCAGGGCCTTGGTCTTCCTACTGCCTGATGTGGCCTCCCCACCATCGGGGTCTCCAGCAGGGTCCGCCTTTGGGAGCTGAGCTGAGTGGTGTGGGGACAGCATGGGAGCGGGTGGCTGGGCAGGAGGGAAGAGGCCAGGAACCAGACTGGGCTTTACTCCCGGGCTCTGGCTTCTACTCTTCCTGATTTGGCAGGTGACTGTGCTTTGTCAACACCCTCCTGTGGCTTCCCTTGGTGCCAGTCTATTTTACTATTTTATTTATTTTTATTGTTGATGTTTCAGGGTGGTTCTTCTCCTTCTCCTTCCCAGAGGGGCTTTACCACTGAGCTACATCCCCAACCTTTTTTATTTTTTATTTTGAGACAGAGTCATACTAAGTTGCTTAGGGCCTTGCTTAGGCCTGGCCTCAAACTTGCAATCCTCCTGCCTCCATCTCCAGAGCTGCTGGGATGACGGGCGTGTGTCATTGCACCCAACTTTTTTATTATTTAAGCTTATTATTTTTTTTAATTAAGTTTACGCCATTGAGTTTATTGTTTTACTTACTGGGGGGTGGTGCTTGGGATGGAACCCAGGGCCTGGCACGTGCTAGCCAGGTGCTAGCCAGGGAACCGCAGCCCAGAGGCTTTATTCACTTTTATTTATTTAAATTCAAATACTCCGAAGAGCTGCAGTGTGCTTTGCAATGCTGCGAGGCAGGAGCTTTGAGCAGGCCTTGCTTCAGGCCCTGGGTTCCATCCCCAGCACCGCAAAAAAGAAAGAAAGGAGCAAGGAAGCTGCTCAGGGTCACACAGCGGGGACACCTGCCCTCCCTGGGGCTGCATTGGCACAAACCTGGACAGGATGGGGGCCTTTGGCATGTGCAGATGGGGACGTGCGTTGACTGGAGAGATTGAGAGTGCGAAACAGGGAGAGAGGGGATCAATGGCCCATTAATTGCCTAAAAACGCGACACCAGGTCAGCTTCATTCTGGGAGGAAGGATCCTGGAGTCTCCCTCCCATCGGGAGGAATGACCGGTTCGCACTTCTCCCTAAGCATTGCCAAGAAGTCTTCACCAGTGGTAACCAACCACACCACGCCTAATTGCAAAAGCAGGACTGTGTTTAAATCACGTCTTGCAAAAAGTTTCTACAGCTAACAAAGAGACACCTAATTTGGGACGTGGGTGTGTTTGGGAAGATTTGCGACGGCGCCTTGAAGGCGCGAAGTCCAGGTGGAGCGCGGTGGGGCAGGCGGCAAGACCTCGCAACTGGCGCGAGGTGGCCAGGGGGTCGGGGTGGGAGGGGACGGTGCGCGGGAGCTGGAGGACTGGCCGGGCGCGAGACGCTGCGGCAGATGGGAGGCCTGTCCCCCGTTCCCCTGGCCGAGCATCTGGCCATCCGCCCGCCCTCCCTTCCTCCTCCTGCCCTTCTCCGGTGTCGCAGCAGGCAGCCGGAGTCAAGTTCCTCTTTTGTTCAGTAGCCCCCAGGGAAGAAAACCAACCCTGGCGACTGCGGATGGCCTGGCGATCTCCCCGGACCGCGCTTCTCGGGTCCAGCCGCCGCACCTGCGCCCGGGCCCGCCCTCGCGCGCACGCGCCGAGCTCCAGGGCTGCTCCTGCGCCCGCCCTTTCTCCCAAGGCCCGACAGGGGGCGCTCCTTGCTCCGCCCTCCCGGGCCCATTTCCCCATCTAAAATGGGAGTCGCCCGCCTGCTCTGAATCCCAGCCGCCCTGCTGCCCTATTTCAGGTTTCGTGAAAATCCCACCATTGGGACGATTGGGGCTCGTAGAGATCCGGAGACTCCAACACCTCCGCGCTTGCTGGAAAGCCCTACTCTCGTTTTTATCGTCCAGGGCCCCCTTTGTGCGACAGGGTCTCTGTTGCCCAGGCTGGCCCCGAACTCCTGGGCTTAAACAGTCCTCCAGACGGCCTCCTCGGGGTGGCATGTCACCTTGCTCACCTTTGTGTGTGTGTGTGTGTGTGGGGGGGTACTGGGGATTGAACCCGGGGCACTTTAAACTGAGCCACATCTCTAGCTTTTTTGTTGTGAGACAGGGTCTGCCTGCAGCTCCCAAGTCTCTGGAAGAGTCACTATTTTATAAATTCACTCAACATACTTATTGAGCACCTACTGTGTACCAGACCCTTTGTTTAATGCCCTGCTGTCAAAACCTTAAAATTCTTAATACCTGTGACCAAGGAGCCCTACATTTTCATTTTGCACTGGGCCCCAAAAAATCTAGTCAGGGGGCTGGGGTGTGATTCAGTGGTAGAGAACTTGCCTGGCACGTGCAAGGTCCTGGGTGCCGCAGCACCGCAAAACCACTTACAGCTGGTCCCTCTAGGGATACAACAGGGGTCAAGATGGACAAACATCTTTGTAACAGGCGAGATGACATTTGAGGGAGACAGCAAGAGTAGACAATAGTTTTCAAATGATACTTTGTATTTTCGGTGGTGATAGGAGCCACGCGGGTGTAGAAAGCCGCTGGGCAGGAGTCTCCGTGCGCAGACGGGAGTGGATGGATCTGCGGGGCAGGTGCTCCCTCAAGGGGAACTACCAGGCAAAGGCAGGAGGGGGCGCCAGCGGTTTGAGGACCAGAAAGGAGACGGCAGGGGCGGGCTGGCTTGGTCCGGGCATGCGCTCAGGGAGGCAGGGGCAGAGGATGCTAGGAGCTCAGGGGGGCAAACCCTCCCTACAGCGGGCAGGCAGTGTTTTTGGCTTCCGGGCCAGCGGCCGCCACTGTGCGGTTGCATCTTGAAAGCAGCCTGTGCCTGTGGTAAATGGATGGGGCTGGCTCGTCCCCAGAAAGCTTTATTGATGGATGCTGAGCTGTGAATTCATCACGTTCGCCGCTAACGATGTATTATTATTATTCTGACTTCCCTCGCAGCCACTTGCAAGTGTAAAACCATTCTCAGCCTCGCTGTTGGGGGCTGTATATAAACGGGGCAGGCAGGGGAGGGCTGCTGCCCGCACTTCGTGCTGAGTGGGGTCCCCAGAGGCTTTGCACAGGGGAAAGAGGAGCTAGGCGGGTCAGGAAGTGGCTGCTGGCTGCAGCGGGTGGCGAGGGAGGAAAAGGGTCAAGGGCGGGTGTGCAGACCAGGAGGACGTGCGGTGCCTGCAGTTTGGGGTTGACAGGGCGGTGGCCACCAAAGGGCCACTCCATGTAGTGCAGCCGGTGGGGGTGGCTGGTGGCTTGGATATGGGTGATGACCAAGGTGATGCTGGGACTGGCTTGAGCCCTGGGGACAGGGCTGTGCCCGGCACACTGCAGTGGGCTCTGAGAGGCAGTCTGGTCTGAGCTTACCCGCACCTAGGAAGACAGGTGGGGAGGATGGAGGAAACGCGAGCTTGGGCTGGGAGATCCATTTCAGTCTCCTCCTGGACGTGCCTGGGGTCACCCCCACCTCCCAGGGTGAGAGGAGGGGGAGCCTCAGCTCCTCCCAGCTGCTTCTCACCAGCTGCTGCACCCGACAGCCTACCCTTGCCTCCGTCTGTGCAAAGGCAGCTAAGGAATCCTCAGGCCACCCACCTAAGCCTGGGGTCTCAATGGGGGAAGGGGACAGTTCTGCCTCTCCCCCATCAGGGACTGGCAGCAATGTCCATGGCTGTCCTGACTGGAGAAGCCCCTGGCATGGAGCAGGTAGTGGCACTCCGCAGCCCTCAGGATGCCCACCCCAGAGAACCATCTGGCCCCAGAGTCCAGTGCCGAGGGAGAGACCTGGCTCTATGGTGTCTGCTCCGTTATCTACTCCATTTAGCAATTGAGAACTTGAGGCCCAGAGAGGGGAAGTGACTGGCCCAAGATCACACAGCTGGTATAACAAGCTGACCCCCACCCGCCTGCCGCCTCTGCGGGGCCCCTGCTCCACAGGCTCTGGAAGGCCTCGCCTGGACTCTTCCTCTGTCCCCTGTGGGCCCAGCCTCTCCCGATGCCTTCTTTTTGTGAATTTGCAGTTGCATCACCGGGTCAGAAGCCGCAGCACCCCACACTCCTCCTCCTCCGCCCCAGATGCCGCTGCTTTGCCAGCACCTCCTCTCCCAAGCACTGGGGCTCCCTGCTCAGTTCTGGCCACTCTTGCCCTGGGGTCATCTTCTCACCAGCCCCGGACTCTTCCCCAAGCCACATGTCAGTCGCCACTGGGCATGTTCCCTGGACGCCCACCGGGCCCTTTGACACTGGATGGGTTTGAACTTCCCGCGTGGAAGATGGTCCTTTTCCAGGACACAACTTGGTGATGAACATGTCCCCCAAAGACCAGATCACCCACCCCAACCTCTGCTTCTCTGGCCCCACAGCGACTGATTTCTGTCCAGTCTCCCACTTTCTTCCATGTGACCTGGGTTGCCCCCCTCCCCACCCATCCTTCACCTGGGGCTTCTGAAATGTCAGCCCCGAGTGCGGTGCCACAGGCAGGAATTGCGCGCACTGTCTGTGGAGTGTCCAGGCCTGACTAGCGCATCTGGCATCCAGCAGACACTCAATAAATGCTTCTGGCTGAAGGACCCTCTTCCCAAAAGGGTACTCTGGTGCATGTTTGTTGAGCTGTGTGCTAGATGCTGTTCCAGGCACAGGGACACAACACTAACCAAGTGACCAAGACACACCCAAAGTGCTTCCCCCCCCTTGTGGAGCTAACAGGGTGAGGCAGGGTGAGAGGGTTGGGAAACAGACAGGTGTCTGGAGAGGTGTAGCCATGCAGAGACAGCAGGCGATGTGAGGGGTGCTTGGGAGGTGATGTTTGAGGCTGAAACATCAGGAGGAGCCAGCTGGGTGGGTGTCTGGGGAGGGTGCTGAGGGTGCAGCCCTGCAAAGGCCCTGGGGCAGCCCAGCCTGTTGTGCTGGAGGCTCCGAGAGGAGTCTTGTGGCTGGAGCAGAGGGAAGAGGGGGAGAGGAAGGAGGCAGGGAGGGCACAGGGCAGATGGCGCAGGGCCCTCTGGGCCACAGAGAGGACTTAACTCTGAGGGAGATGGGAGCCATGGAGGGCTGTGGGCAGAGGAGAAGGGCCTGGCTCTGGTGCTCAGAGCTACTTTCTGGAGCTTCTAGGAGGAGACGGAGGGTGGGGAGGGTGCAGCAGAGCGACTGCACTGTGCAGGTGGCCACCACCATTCCTTCAAGTTCCCTTGCAGGAAGCCCTCCCTGACTCCAGCCACATAGGGCAGCCTCACAAGCTCCCCACTCAGTTCCGGTCATGGCCCCAAGCACATGGTTCATGAGTCTATGGGTACATGCCTGTCTCTCCAGGGACCCCGTGACAGCAGGGACTGTCTCAGTCACCACTGGATCTGCCCGGCTGAGGGCAGGCCGAGGAGACAGACCTCCCCGCACCTTGGGGCCAGAGCCAAGGGCGTGTCCTGTGTCTTTCAGTGGATTTAGCTGAGCATCTACTGTGTCGCGCCCTCCAGTGTCCCCAGGAGCTAGCCGTAGAGCTACATCTGTATTGGATGAGTGAACCGAGGTTTTTCCTTGTGCTCACTGAATGCCAGGCACTGCGTGGTGCGGTGCTTCGCATACAGTGTCTGGCGAGTGCTCCTGGTGACCACCTGCCGTGGTGACTGCTTATCCAGAAGCCCGTTCCGCAGTTGAGGAAAGGGAAGGGGACAGCCGGTAAGTAGCTCAGCCCAGCCAGCCAGGTGGCCCAGGCGGGGGCGGCCGAGCCACTGTGCGCGGCGAGGGACGAGGGACGAAGGCGAGGGGGCGAGGCCGCGGGGTGAGGCCGGCGGGCGGGGCCCGCAGAGGGACAGGCATCCCGCGGGGCGGGGCCGGTGGGCGGGACTCCGGCTCAGGCCCCGCCCCGCCCCGCCCGGCCCCAGCCCCTCGGTCCCGCGGCCCCGGAACCCGCCACCCGTCGCCCGGACGCCATGAAGCAGCTGTGTCTGTGCGCGGCCACCTCCTTCGCGGTAGGGCCGAGGGCGCGGGTCCCTCCTCTCCCTCCCGTCCTGGCCGCCCGCCCCCCGCCCCCCGCCCCCACCCCAGACCTGGAAAGATGCGCGAGGGAGGGGTCCGGGGTGAGGGCAGCTTTGGGGGACAAACGGGCCGTTTGGTGACACACAAGGGCACGCTTGGGGAGGGCGTTTGGTGACACACAAGGGCACGCTAGATGGGCAGTTAGAGTGTAGAGGGCATTTGGAGGGACGGTTCTGAGGCTAGATGGGAGCAGGAGAATATAGAGGGCATTTGGGGGGACAGTTGGGAACCCGATTTGGAAATGCTGGACCATTTGCAGGGACACACTAGTGTGGAGGCTGTTCGGGGAGGCAGCTGGGAGGAGATGGCATTTGGGAACTGTTTCAGAGACCACTGAGGGGAACGGGGTTTGGCTGGTGGTTGCTTTTTGTTGTTGTTGTTGTTATTTATTATTATTATTTCTGAGGACATTTTGGGATAATGATTTGGGACACTTGATTTTAGAGAATACTTCAGGCATTCGGGGGAGGCATTTTGGAATGCAGTCAGGCTGTGATTTTGAGTGGACAGGCCTTGGGACATTGGGGGGACGGTGGTGCCAGGTGCAGTCATGGAAGCATAGGTGGGGCAGAGTGCTTTGGAGATGGGAAAGGGACCTCTTGGGGGCCTAATGGGGAGACTCTGGGGGTAGTTCGGGAAAGACTGTGGATCCATTTGCTGGAAGTGAGGTTGCAGAGGGGGAGTCACACTAAGGGACATGGGGGCCTTGGACAGTGGGGCCGTGTTTTGGGAGAAGTGGGCTGTCAGGGTGTTAGCAGGAGGCTGGGTGCATGGCTGGGGCGATGGGCCTGGGGAAGATGCTGGGGGCGCGAGCTTGGGAGACACTGTCTCAGGCCCCCCGCCCAGGACCACCTCCCCTGCAGCTGCGGCTCAGCCCCACCGACCTCGGCTCCTGCCCGCCCTGCGGCCCCTGCCCCATCCCGAAGCCGGCAGCCAGAGGCAGGCGCCAGGCAAGTGCCCAGGGGCGGGCGGCCAGAGCCCAGAGCCCCTGCCAGGGGGAGCGGGGAGGGGCAGCCGCCAGCCCAGCCCCACACGCCTGGTGCCCCCACAGGGCCAGGACTGGGGCAAGAGCGACGAGAGGCTGCTGCAGGCCGTGGAGAACGAGGACGCAGCCCGCGTGGCCGCGCTCATTGCCCGCAAGGGGCTGGTGCCCACAAAACTGGACCCTGAGGGCAAGTCCGCGTGAGTGCCCGCGCCCCAGGGGTGGGAAGGCTGGGGGGCAGGCGGTGGCTGACCTCTGACCTCTGCTCCCCAGGTTCCACCTGGCGGCCATGCGGGGTGCAGCCAGCTGTCTGGAGGTGATGCTGGCCCACGGCGCCGATGTCATGAGCACGGACGGAGCAGGTACGCAGCCCGGACCCCAGGTGGGAAGTGGAGCAGAGGCCAGGCCCCAGCCCCAGCCCAGCCGGCCCTGCTTCAAGTCCTGCCCATCCCCGTGGGAAGAGGGGGCCCCCACAGCCCCCGGGACAGGGCCATGCCAGCCAGCGAGCCCACGGACAGAGACTTTGGCTGGTGTTGAGCAAGGAGATGGCAACTGTGAACAGGGAGTGACTAGGGTCCAGTGGAGGGTGGATCAGAGGAAGCAGCTGGAACAGGGGAGCCTCTGGGGCTTGGGGAGCTTCTGAGAAGATGACTAAGGCAGAGGAGGAACCTGGGGTTCCTCCTGAGGTAGTCAGACCACGGGGGGCCTTGGACCTGAGGTGCACCTAGGGTGTTCAGGGAGAGACCAGGGAAGTGAGTGGGGAGGGCAGGGCCTGGGGCTGGGGAGAAGCTGGGTTCACGGGAATAGCTGAGCCTAAGAGGGACAAGTGGGGCTGGGAGGACCCGGGCTGCAGGGCGTGGCTGGGCCTAGGAGCAGCCGAGCTCGGGAGTAGCTGCGGCAGTGGGAGAATCTGGGCACACGAGTCAGCTGGAGACCCGAGGGAATAACTGGGAAATCACGGCCAACGGGAGTCCTGGAGACTCGGGGTGACTGGGCATGGGCAGAGCCATGTCCAAAGCTCTGGGGTCCAGGCATAGCAGGCAGGGAACAGGGAGTAGCTGGGGGTTGGCCGATGGGACAGGGTGGCACCTGGGACAGCAGGAGGATCTGGACGAGCAGGAACATACCGCATCCTGGTGGCTGTGACGGCCGAGCTGGAGCTCACTGCAGGGAGCACCCAGAACAGCTGCGACGTGGGGAGTAGCTGTGACTGTAGGTCGTGAGTTTGTGGGTGCAGAGTGCAGCTTAGATTATGAGGTGTCAGGGACGCCAACTGGCTGGGGCTGGGAGACTCTGACCACAGGGAGCAGCGCAGTTGTGAGAAGTAGCTGGGGCTTGGGGACTTAGCCACGGGGCAACTCCACACAGCAGACTCGGGTTTGGGGGCAGCTGGGAACCCCTGCACTAGCCAGAGCTCTAGTGAACCTCTCCTTGCAGGTTACAACGCCATCCACCTGGCCGCCAAGTACGGGCACCCGCAGTGTTTGAAGCAGCTGCTGCAGGTCATTGGCCTTCTTTTCTCAGATACTCCCTGGACTCCAGGTTCTCCCTGAACCCCAATATGCTTTGGCCCTTTCACTTTCAAGCTCTAGCTACTTCCTGGATAACCTCATACGCCCCACGTCAGGACGCCCTCTCGGCACCACAGACGCTTCCTGAGCCCCTTTCCCTCAGCACGACCTGCTTTTTCAGCCAAGGTCACCCTCAGAGGGTCACCCTCAGAACACCCAGCACTTTCTCACCAACCCCAGGGCCTGACAGGTGGCTCAGCATACCAGGGAGTGGAGACAGGGCCCCAGGAGCCTGACATTCAGCGAGCCCTCGCGGGGAGGTGGTCCTAGGGAAATCAGGAGGGAGAGGCTGGCTGTGTTGCAAGTGGCCTGTGCCCCTTCCCAGGCATCGTGCGTGGTGGACATCGAGGATGGCAGTGGGTGGACAGCCCTACATCACGCAGGTGGGTGCGCCCCGCCCACCATGGTGGAGGGGGTGCTGGGCTGGGGTCATTCTGGCCAGGGTCTCTCCGTGGTGGACTTCCTGAAGCCTCCTCCTTTTCCTTACCAAGCACCTGCTGTGTGCTGGGCATGGGGCTCCGCACCATCCTCAGTGCCCTCAGAAGCACAGGCTGTCACCCTGTTGAATGGACGAGGAGTGCTGAGGTTCAGTCCTGGGGGGAGACCCTACGTCCCCTCTTTCCTGTATTCAAGCGGCTGGTGGCGTAGCCTGGGGATCACCAGGTCTTTATGAGGACGATGGCAGGGCTGCCCAGGGTTTAAGTCCCCTGAGGAACTGGAGCATCTCTGGAGAGCTCAAGGCCCAGGCAGCCAGTGGCTTCCCATCCACTGCAGACTCCTTCCCGAGGAGGGGGAAGGACCCACCCACTGAGCCGAGCCCACCGCCGGGGAAACATTTGTTCTTAGGGATACAGTAGGACTGGGCTTGGTTCAGGGTCTTGGGGCCTGTCCCAGACTTCCTGCAGTTGGGTTTGCCGCCCCCCATGGTGTGGCGCCTCCAGTCTCCAGTGGTGTGGGCCTTGCTGTGGAAGGCCCTTGGTTTTCCGCACCCTGCAGACATTTGTTGGATGGGTACCTAACGTGTGGCAGGCGTCCCTCTAAGGGCAGCAAAGGAAACCCACTCTCCCTCAGGCGCACAGCAGGCTGTACATAGAGTTTGCTGGCTGAAAAATGGGTTCAACACGCTGGGCGAATCAAACAGGAGGAAGTATGTGAGGATGGGCGCGGCTTCTGCCTTCCCCGGGAGCCACAGTGGACCGTGCGCGGCGTGGGAGAGGGAGGCAGCAGCCGGTCCTAGACTGGCTCCCTCTGCCTCTGAGCCCGTGGGGGGCCGTGGGCCTCGCTGTGGGCATGGTTTCCTCATCTGTAGGAGGAAATATTGCCTTCGTTGTAAAAATGGCATCCGGGCAGGAGAGGCTCCCCCCAAATGTCTGCGCTCTCCCCTTCCCCTCTTTCCTCTACTCAAGCGGCTGGAGGCTGTCTGTCCTGCTCAGAGATACTCTGCTCCTTCAAGGCACATCTGAACCCGCGAGACCGGGTGAGCCTGAATGTTTTAGAGATTCCACTTGAGGCGTGTGCCTCCAAGTGGCCGCCCCAGGCCCCCTTTGCAAAGTGCGCGTCGGGGCGAAGCTGGGGCCGCTGTCTGGCCTCCCTGCCTCCCAGGGCCAGCTCCTCACGGCTCCTCCTCCTCCCTGCCAGTCGGGCGCAACGCCTCTCATCATAGCTGCTCAGATGTGCCACGCGGACCTGTGCCGGCTGCTCCTGCAGCAGGGGGCTGCTGCCAATGACCAGGACCTGCAGGGCAGGTGAGCTCTGGGACCTAGGGGCCTCCTCCTCCTCCCAGCCTGGGGCTGGCGGGGAGGGAGCTTGGCCATGTGCCCGCCCCTCAGCAGCCCCCTTCCCTGGTAGGACAGCCCTGATGCTGGCCTGTGAGGGGGCCAGCCCCGAGACCGTGGAGGTGCTGCTGCAGGGCGGGGCCCGGCCAGGCCTCGCGGACGCCCTGGGCCAGGACGCTGCTCACTACGGTGCCCTAGCGGGGGACAAGCTCATCCTGCACCTTCTGCAAGAGGCAGCTCAGCGTCCCTCCCCGCCCAGTGGTACGTGAGCGCGGTCTCCCTGTGATTTCAGGCACCCCCCCGAAGTTTCTTTTCTTTTTTTATATCTTTATTTCTGTTTATTTATTTTTATGTGGTGCTGAGGATGGAACCCAGGGCCTCACACATGCGAGGCAAGTGCTCTCCCATTGAGCTGCAGCCCCAGCCCCTAGGCAGTTTCTTATCACCCCTTTCCCCCTACTGTGGGTAGTTTCAAGATACCCCATACCTGCTGCATTATAGGAGGTTTCATGGTTCCCCTACTTGAGGTTGTTTCAAGGAGCCCAAGAACATTTAGAGTAGTCAGGGGTCCACTCTGATTTCCCGGGTCATCCTTATTCTTACAGCTCCACCTCTCTGGGCGGGGGCTGGGGCTCAGTGGTAGAGCGCTTGCCTAGCATGTGTGAGGCCCTGGGTTTGATTCTCAGCACTAAATATAAATAAGTAAAATAAATGCCCATCAACAACTAAACAGAGAGCACCTCCCTCTCCTCCTAAGAAGTGGCAGCCCACCCACTCCATCCTGGAAGTGCCATTGTCCTTTCTCTGGGTTTCAAGGTCCCTCCTATCATCAAGGTTTCCTGCCTTGAAATCCCTGATCCTTGGGCAATTGGACCCCCCCAGGCCCCTGGGCCCCCTATTGCCCTTCTTTGAGGGAGAAGGGAGCCCCTGGAACTGAGCGCCTGACCCTGCTTCCCTCTCTCCCCTGCCCCTAGGGGACGACTCAGGCGAGGCATCATCTCAGGTATGGATCCCCAAGGAGCCAGACCCTCCCCGTGCACACACTCATTCTCCTTGGCCCCAAGCTCTGCAGAAAGGCAGGAAGAGATGGACCCCTGCCCGGTTATACCTGGGCGGACCTGTTTGGCGTATGCTGCCACCAAGTGGTGACTGCATGCATAATTCCCCAAACCCAGGGACCATCCAGAGATGGGGCCAGTTCATGGCACTGGGTGGGTGACTGGGGACTGAGGTTGGTGAGGGCTGCTCTGGTCAGGGAAAGGGGCTTGGCTTCTGCCTCCCCTCCACCCCCATTGTCAGTACCTTGGCTTCACGGGGGAAAGAAACTAGTGGTCTGTTGGACCAGGGAGAGCCAAAGCCCCCACGTGGGGGGACAAGGGAGGACTTGGGGAAGCCAGGCTGGCCGGCTGGGAGGTTGATGGGGTGGGCGGGCTAGCGAGGTGGCCCCCACGTGCTCCTTCTCCCTCCGCCCACCAGAACTCCGTGTCCAGCCACGACCAGCGAGGGGCTGCCAAAAAGCGGAAGGCACCCCAGCCGCCAGCCAGCATTCCCACGCCGGTAAGGACGCGGGCGGGGAGGATGGGGGAGCCGGGCAGGGCTCTGGCTCCTACGTGGGCCTCATCTAAAGGCGGTGGGCACCGGGCGGGGAGGGCAACAGGATGATCGCGAAGCCTATGAGGAGATCGTGCGGCTGCGGCAGGAGAGGGGCCACCTCCTGCAGAAGATCCGAGGCCTGGAGCAGCACAGGGACCGGAGGCAGCCGGAGGCCAGGAGGCAGCAGGCCTGGGAGGTGCATTTCTGGGGGAACATGGCCTTGCCTTTTCCACCTTCTCCACCCCTGTCTTCCTCTCCTCACTGCCCCAGCCACATGGGCTTCTCGCTGGGCCTCCAACATGCCAAGCTGGGTCCTGCCTCAGGGCCCTTGCACGGGCTGTTCCCACTACCCACAATGCCGTTCCCTCACATGCCCCCCCCCCCCCCCCCCCGCTCCCTCCTCGCCTCTTGAGGCCAAACTCACCTCCCCTTCCCAGCTTATTTTAAACTACAGCCCCTGTCACTCACTCTTCAGCTTGCTCTTTCCATTCTTGGCTCTTACTGCTGTGGCTTGCTGTAGATTTCATTCATGTCCACCGACCCGCACAAGCCCACAGGCGGCCATGGTTGCCAGTGCCTGGCTCACAGTAGGTGCCCAATAAATAGTTACTGAATGGATGAATATTCGGGTGAATGAATCAGTTAGTGGCCCCCAGACAAAGTCTGCCCCCAAATAGGGGCCCCACAAGAACTTGTGCAGGGGATGATCAGACAGAGTGGGGTGCTACTGCGCTAGCCAAGGGGGGCGGGAGGTAAGGCCCCCGCATATCTACGACCCTTGCCTCTCCTCCAGCAGCCGCAGGAGGCCGAGGCCGGCTCGCTCCACAGCCTGCAGAGACAGGTATGCAGCGGGGGCGGGGGCAGAGCGGGCGCCCTGCCCCTATTTCCTCCTAGAGGCACCTCAGCCCATACCTCCTGCCCCAGGTGCAAGAGCTGCAGCAGCTGCTGGCGGAGAAGCAGGAGGAGAAGGAGAGCCTGGGCCGAGAGGTGGAAAGTTTGCAGAGCCGGCTGTCCCTGCTGGAGGTGGGAGCAGAGGGCAGGGGCAGGGCAGGGGCTGGGCAGGAGCCAGGAGCAAGGCCAGGTAGGGCCAGGCAGGGGCGGGGCGAGCCAGAACCAGGGTGGGGCTGGGACGGGCCAGGTAGGCGGGGCCTGTAGCAGCCAGGGGGCGGGGCCTGGCAGCCATAGCAGAGTCCTGCGGCCTCATAGGTGCAAACCCAGCAGAGGGGCTCTTCAGTATTAATGCCAGTCCTGGTCAGGCAGGGTGGCGCACGCCTGTAATCCCAGCGACTTGAGAGGCTGAGGCAGGAGGATCACAAGTTCAAAGCCAGCCTCGGCAATTTAGCAAGGCCCTAAGCAACTCAAAATAAAATGGCCTGGGGACTGATTCAGTGGTTGGTGTGCCCCTGGGTTCAATCTCCAGTACCCAAAGTAAGAAAAAATAAAAAGAAGAAGAAGAAAAAGCTTAGCCCTTTCACGCATCCTCATAAACCCATGATGACAGACACCCTCCACTACACACATCCCCGTGGTGGACACTTCTCCCAACACCTACACTCGAGGACTCATGTACGTCTTTTAGAACAAGCACGCCTATAAATGCAGTTTCCTAGACAAGCTCACCCGAGCATGTCGTCACACACAGGTCATACTTGTGAACACGCAGCCCACAGGCCCGCCACATGCACAACATGCCAGAAGTACATATGCACCAGAGATATCTCAAAATGTTCATACAAACAGACAAACGCACTGGTTCCTTTGCATACACCCAGCCATCCAGGACGGCTGCACGGCCAACAGCAGCAGGAACAGGCACAGGCACACGTGTGTACAGGGGGAGCAGTCACAGTGCGGACACCCCAACCCACACCCGCCCACAGCCATGCTGGCGTGCAAAGCGGACAGCATGGCCCCACCCTCTCCAAACACACCCACCCCATCCTGGGGTCCCCTCACCCAGGAGGGCAGTGTCCGCTGCACACATACCATGAAATGGGGGTTATCTGATAGTTAACATCCAAAATAGGTAAGAAATCCGTACAACTCAATAATGGGCACACGGGGTGGGCGGGCAGCTCAGGGTAGAGCGCTTAGCTGGCACCATCGAAGAACCGAGAGAGGACATGGTCGGTACCCAGCAGATAGAAAGCCCTGCAGTGCTCATGGGAGTCCGAGTGTGACCAGCTCAGGCCACCCTGGGCTTTGGGGGGACAGGGGGTGGGCGAGCAGGACCCCAAGCCACTCTGTCCCCACCCCAGAGCGAGCGGGAGAACACCAGCTATGACGTGGCCACCCTGCAGGATGAGGAAGGGGAGCTGCCCGATTTTCCAGGTGAGCCCGGGGCCCTGCCCTGCCTCCATGAATCTGTCCATCTGGTCCTGGAACCCAGGAGAGACCTCCCACCCGGTGGAGAGAGTGTGACGTGGGAGGGAGGGCAGGAGGGACCTGCGAGTCATTCAGCCTGCTCAGCCTGCTCCGGGGCCCTGATGTTCCACTGCAGACCCCCACTCCTGTCCCCTGTGTCCTGGGACCCCGGGCCTGACTCTGTGCCCCCTGCCAGGGGCCGAGGCCCTGCTGTCCCGGCAGCTAAGCCCGACGGCCCAGGAGCAGGTGGCTGCACTGCAGGAGCAGGTGGCTGCACTCACGAGACAGAACCAGGAGCTAATGGAGAAAGTGCAGGTGGGGACACTGAGGCCGAGGACATGTGAGGCCTGGGTTCCCTGGAGTCAGGGTGTGCAGGGAAGGCCGCCAGTCTGCGCGGTGCCCTGCGCCCGCTTCAGCCCTTGTCTGCCCCCCGACCCCCAGATCCTGGAGGACTTCGAGAAGGACGAGATGCAGATGGAGGTGAATGGTTCTGCTGAGGTGGTCCCCCTGGTCCTCTATGACTCTCTCCGGGCCGAGTTTGACCAGCTTCGGAAGCAGCATGCAGAGGCCGTGCGGGCGCTGGAGCAGCAGGAGGCAGGGCAGGCCCCGGCGGCAGAGGCAGCTGCCCACCGCCCCCCCCAGGGCTCCGATTCGGGAGCCAACGCAGCCCCAGAGGGACCCACAGGTGCCGAGCTGAACGGCACCGCGGCTCTGGAAGCCCGAGTTACCGGGGCAGAGAACACGGGTGAGGAGACTGCGGGAGCCGAAGCCGCGGAAGCCAGGACTTTGGAAGCGGCCACCGCAGTGCCCGAGGCCGAGGCAGCCACGGATGCTGAGGCCCAGGAAACAGAGGGGGCGGGAGCCCAGGCCGAGGCAGCGGAGGCCTCCGCAGCGCAGGTGACCGCAGTGAAGGCCGCGCCCGGGGGGAAGGCTGGAGCTGCCACCCCGGGGGCTGAGGCCACTGGCCCAGAGGCCACAGAAAGGAAAGCAGACAACCCAGAGAAGGCCCGCGGCGAGGGCGGTGCCGAAGCCAGGCTCACAGAGCCCCGGGCCGCACACACGGAGGCCGCCCGGGTCCCCGCGGGCCCCGGCCTGCACCCCGGGGCCGCTGAGGCCTCCGAGAAGCTGCAGGCGGAGCTGGAGACCCGGATTCGCGGCTTGGAGGAGGCGCTGCGGCTGCGAGAGCGGGAGGCGGCTGCCGAGCTGGAAGCGGCCCTGGGCAAGTGCGAGGCCGCAGAGGCCGAGGCCGGTCGGCTGCGGGCGCGGGTGCGCGAGGCCGAGGGCGCCGGGGCCGGTGCGGGCAGCGGTGGCGACAGCGGCCAGCTGCGGGCGGCCCTGGAGCAGGCCCGGGAGGACCTTCGCGACCGCGACTGCCGCCTGCGGGAGCTGGAGGCGGCCTCGGCCTGGCTGGACGAGGCGCGGGCCGGCCGGCTGCTGGCCGAGGAGGAGGCCCGGGGCCTGCGGGCGGAGCTGGCCCGACGGGAGGAGGCGCGGCTGGAGCAGAGCCGGGAGCTGGAGGTGCTGCGGGAGCAGCTGGCCGCGGCCAGGGCCGCCGGGGAGCAGCAGCGGGCAGCGGCCGCCGAGCTGGGCCACGCGCGGGACGCGGCCGAGGCCCGGGCCGCAGAGCTGGCCGCGGCCTGCGAGGAGGCCCGGCGGGGCCTGGCGGAGCTGCGCGAGGCCTCCGAGGCCCTCCGCCGGGCGTCCGTGCCCGCCTGCGAGCACCGCCGGCTGCAGGAGGAGGCCCTGGAGCTGCGCGGCCGCGCCGCCGGCCTGGAGCAGGAGGTGGTGGCCGCCGGCAAGGAGGGCGCGCGGCTGCGGGCGGAGCTGGAGCGGGAGCGCGGGGGCGGCGTGGCCCGCGCGGAGCACGAACGCACGGTGGGCGCGCTGCAGGCCGAGGTGGCCCGGCTGCAGGGGCAGCTGGAGGAGCTGGAGCGCAGGCACGAGAGGACCAGCGCCGAGGTCTTCCAGGTGAGCGAGCGCCCCGCCGGGCACCGCCCGCGGCCTGGGGGGCCTGCAGCCTGGGGCCTGCACCCGTCAGCTTGTTGACAGCCATTGACCCCGTCGAGATTTCTGGGGCTCGTGGGACCCAGCCACCCTGAGCCCCTGATGTTTCACCTGGTTCCTCTCTTTTTAACTCATTTTGACCTCATTTTTAAAAATGGCAGCTACGTCTTGGGATCTGGTTATAGAACCCGTCTGTCCCGAGGTTGTGCCATCTTCTGTATTTCCTTTGCACCTCTTTTTAGTTCACGATGATGACATCTCTTTGGTTTTTAACCCGTGTGCGTGGTGTGAGGTCGGGATCCACGACCACGATTTTTGCAAGCAGTGGATTTCTCCATGTTTTCTCCCAATGCCCATTGTCTCTGGAGGTCATGTTGACCCTGTGGTTTCTTCCAGCTGGCTGCTTTACCGTATCCTAAAAATGCTCTTACAATTTTCACCCCTTTGACCAAACTCTAGAAAGAAGATATTATGAGCAGGACTTTTTGATCTCAATGGACTTGTTTTTTGTCTATCTGTTTTTCCAGGACTGGGCATTGAACCCAGGGCCTCACATATGCCAGGCAAGCATTCTTCCCCTGAGCCTTAACCCCAGCCCAGTTTTTATTTTGAGGCAGGGTCTCTCAAAGTTGCTAAGGCTGGCCTTGAACTTGTGAGCCTCCTGCCCCAGCTTCCTGCCTCAGCTGCAATTATAGGCATGCACCACTGCACCCAGCTGAGGTTTTTATTTTGTTTTGTTTTGCTTTAATCCAGGGTTTTGGTTTGGTTTGGTTTGGTTTTTGTCCTGAGGGTGGATCTTTGACTTGATCTCTTTACTTAAACAACAAAAGCAGCTGTGTTGACAAATATTGAATAAGAAACCGCATTCTTTGACTGTTATCAGGAAAGAATTTTCCTGTCTGTGCCTCTGTTTGCTCATCTGTGTGATGGAAACAGTAGTAGTAGTTCCTAGTCACTGTGTGTGGATTACATGGGCTTGTTTTTTTAAATTTCTTTTAGTTTTGATGTACCTTTTATTTATTCACTTATTTATATACAGTGCTGAGAATCAAATCCAGGGACTCCCACATGCTAGGCAAGTGCTCTGCCCCCGAGCCCCAGCCTCAGCCCCTATGTGGGTTTATTCTCCACTCTAGCAAGAACTGTAACTGGTACAAGTGTACCACAGCAGAATATCTATTTTCAAGGACACACACTTTCAAACCCCTTAAATCCTCAGTCGACTTCCTGGAGTCCACAGTCTGATTTATGCCCACCTTCATGCTTATTTTCTAGATTTTACCTTTTGCACGGTGACTCATTTTTAGAGTGAGTTCCGCAGGTCTGGTTTTTAAACATTGTTGACATATAGCCAGTCTGTGTTGATGGGAGTATGCAGTTAGAATCCATTTCCCATGGAGCTTTGTTTTTATTTTATTTTACTTTGTTTTTTATGTTTTGGTTCTGGGAATGGAAGCCAGGGATGCTCTACCACTGAGCCACATCCCAGTCCTTTTTATTTTATTTTGAGACAGGATCTTGCTCAGTTGCTGAGGCTGGCCTCCAGCTTGCCATCCTCCTGCCTCAGCCTCCCATGCCACCACACCTGGCTCCGGGAAACTAATTTCTAAAGCCAATCCGCCCTTCCAAGAAGGAACTTTGCAAAGGGAACGCTGCCCCATCTTTATTTCTGTGAATGCACGCATCCACTTTTCCATGTCTTCGGCTTTTCCTCCGATTCTCTTTCACTTACCTTTTGTAAGAAGTCTACGAACTTGCACCACCGACAGAGAACATGATAATATGAAAAAATGACAACTCTGACTCCCACTCAGCATGGTGAGCCAGGCACTCCCCTAGGCAAACGCCACGGCTCCGCGAGGTGGCAGCTAGCATGATTCCCTTCGTTTCGTATCTGAGGAAATGGCACAGAGAGGCGAAATCACTTGTCCCAGGACACACAGCTAGCGAGTACAGCAGAGGTGTGGGGTGGATCTGAATATGCACAGGGCCAAGAGGAATTCAGAACTTACGTGGGTCACACCACTGGGGTCAACATGGACTTGAGCGTCCTCAGGCCAAGAAGCCTGGGGTCCCAGAGTCATGAGGGGCTTGGGCCGCAGGTGCAGCGGGAGGCGCTGTTCATGAAGAGCGAGCGGCACGCGGCCGAGGCCCAGCTGGCCACCGCGGAGCAGCAGCTACGGAGCCTACGGACCGAAGCCGAGAGGGCTCGCGAGGCCCAGAGCTGCGCCCAGGAGGCCCTGGACAAGGCCAAGGAGAAGGACAAGAAGGTGGGTGATCCGTCCCGTGCTCCATGGACCCCACTCAGCAGAGGATGGTCCCCAGCGGAGCGGGGGAACCAGCCCATCATGCAGATGGGGATCAGGCAGAGGAGGGGGCTCAGCCACGGCCACCAGGCTGCAGAGTGTTTACCGAGGGCTGAGGCCGGCCAGGCCCTAGGCCCTGCAGTTTGTCCTTCTGCCAAGTGCTCATAAGATCTGCAAGGTAAATCTCCCCAGTGAGGAAACTTAGGCACAGAGAAGTGAAGCCACTTGCTCAAAGTCACAAAGCCAGGCAATGGTTCAGCCAGGGTGTGAACCCAAGTTTTCAAGTTTTGTTCTTAAAACAACCCCAGTAATACTGACCACAGCACCTGCCGGGTGTTGGACCGGCCCTCTTCCTCACAGTACCATTTTTCCTCTACCTCTAACCCTGAAAGCCAGAGACCACTTTTAACTCCGTTTTCCTGGTGAACAAACTGAGCATCCAAAAACTGAAGTGGGGCTCAGTCATACATGTGCCATGTATGACATGTGTCATACATGAGACCCCCATATCCTGGGGTGCTTACCATATACCTGTCCCTGAATCACTGTGTAACCCTGGACAAGTCACTTTACCTCTCTGAGCAGAAGTCGCTTTGTCTGTAAAATGAGGAAATTGCAATTGGGCCAGGAGTGGAGGTCACATCTATAATTCCGGCTACTCTGGAGGCTGAGGCAGGAGGACCGCCAGCTCAAAGCAGCCTGGACAGCTTAGCAAGACCCTGTATTAAAAAACAAAAAAGACCTGGGGGTGTCACTCAGTGGTAGAGCCCCCCCAGGTCAATGCCCAGGACCATAAAATTGCAGTTGGCATTGTGGTCTATGTACAGTGGGGTCTGCTCCAGGGGATACTGGGGCTGTCATTCCGTCGTCCAGGCCCTGCAGGGTGCTCAGCAGCGTCCCTGGCCTCTGCCCACTCCAGGCCAGCAGCTCTGCAGCTGTGACAATCACACATGTTCCCAGATATGGCCCATGTTCCCTCGGGCAGGATGGCCCTGGTGGAAAATGTCTGGTCTGGGGTGATCCTAAGGCCTGGCGTCTAGCGCGTGCACCGTGGGCCAGGCACGGTTTCATCTTAACCTTAGTGCAGAAGCACAGCCGCTTAAGAGCGCGGTTCTCCCATTTCACAGGTGAAGAAACAGGGCTGGGGTGGTCACCTTCCCCCTCAGGAAGAGTAGAGCCTGCCCTTCTTTTTTTTTGAATATTTTTGTTAGTTATACATGGTTACAGTACCTTTATTTTGTTTATTTATTTTTATGTGGTGCTGAGGATTGAACCCAGGGTCTCACTCCTGCGAGGCCAGCGCTCCACCGCTGAGCCACAACGCCAGCGGAGCCTACCCTTCTTGATGACGCCTGTCATCTCTGCCACTCAGCAGGCAGCGGCAGGAGGATGGCGAGTTCAAGGCCAGCCTCGCAACTTAGCGAGGCCCTAAGCAACTTAGGCCCTGTCTTAAATAAAAAATAAAAACAGCTGGCGATGTAGCTCAGTGGTGCTCAGTCCAAAAAAACACCCTGCACCATCAGGGACGCGGGCCCAGGGCTCTGGACTCCAGCCCGGCCGAGCCAGGTGGCCTTGAACTCTGCTGTATGCCAACCCGCCCCTTCCAGAGACACCAGCGGAGACCCCAGAGAGCCGGGAGGGGACCTTTTCCTATAAAGGGCCAGAAAGTACAAATGTCCTCTGACCCGTAGGGCCGAGCCGGCCGTGGCCACGCCCTCTGCCCTCAGGTGCAGTCCAGGGGACACAGCCCGACTGGTGGGCTCGGTCGTGTGCAGATGAAGCCGTTCACAAATATCAAATGTGAATCTGATGGAATCTTCATGTCACAAAACACGTCATTTGGGCCTTTCCCCCCCACGTGTAAAGTGTGGTCTGTTCTGTGGGGTGCGGGCCTGGGGAAGCCGGCTGATGACACCCCACCCCCAGATCACAGAGCTGTCCAAGGAAGTCTTCAGCCTTAAGGAGGCCCTGAAGGAGCAGCCGGCCGCCCCAGCCGCGCCCCGGGTGGAGGTGGAGGTGGAGGCCCTCCGAGGCCAGGTGAAGGCCCTGCAGCGGCAGATGGAGGTGAGGATGGCGCTGGCCAGGGGCGGGCTGCGCAGGCGCACTGCACAGTCCTGGGCGGCCCCGGGGCAGGAAGGCAGGTGCCTGGGCAGGAATTCCCAGGGTCCAGCCGTCGGTGCCACCCTGGGGCGAGCAACAGACTCAGTGAAGCAGGCGGGAGGTGCCTGGGGGCTGCCCCTCTGAGCACCTGCCCCGTGCCCACAGGAGGCTGCCCGTGACCACTGTGCTGTGGTGGCGCTGTATAGGAGCCACCTCCTGTACGCCATCCAGGTGAGTCACCGCTCCAGCTGCATCTCCGCCACCCCCCCACACCCCGGCTCTGGTAGGGCCTCTGCTGCCCTCTGGCCTCCACTTTCCTTCTGGGGGTGTGTGGGAACACAGAGGCTGGGCAGGTGGCCCCAGGGTCTCTCTCTGCCCCCCCACGGCTTCCAGGGCCAGATGGACGAGGACGTGCAGCGGATTCTCAGTCAGATCTTGCAGATGCAAAGGCTCCAGGCCCAGGGCCGCTGAGGCCAGCAGGGGGCTGCGCAGCCCGGCTCAGAACCCCAGGCCCCCCCGGCCAGCCCCCGGCCAGCCGCTGCCCCACAGGCGGCTGGGATTGGACATGTGGACACCAGCCTGGGTCCCCTAAGTGGCCCCATCTCTGCAGCTGTCCCCGCACACTGTGGTTGGTCAGGTGTGCCTGCCCTCCCCACGGGGCAGCTGCGTATGTCCTGCCCAGGTCTCGACCCGACGACACCAATCCAGGAATAAAAGATCTCTGCACAGACAAATGCACACGTGGCCTGACTGACTGACTGACTGGTCCTGCTGGGCGCCTGCTGCAGGGCAGGGAGGGGCGGCCCAGGACAGGAGCCCCGCCCAAACTCAGCCATCGGGATAAAACCACCACAGCAATATGTTTTAAAATGAGAATGGGTGCAGAAAAGTCGGCTGGGGTGCAGCTCGCTGGCCGGGCCTTGTCCAGCAGGCAAGGCCCCCGGTTCCACTCAGCCCTGGAAAGCCACACCTGAAAATCCAGCGGCTCGGGAGGCTGAGGCAGGAGGATCGCAGGTCCTGGCCAGCCTCAGCTACTCAGTGAGACCCTGTCTCTGAATAAAAAATAGGGCTGGGGGGGGCTGGGATCGTGGCTCAGCAGTAGACGCTCGCCTAGCACAGGCGGGAACCGGGTTCGATCCTCAGCACCACATAAAAATAAAGGCATTGTGTTGTGTCCATCTACACCTGAAAATAAATAAATATTAAAAAAAAATAGGGCCAGGGATGTGGCTCAGAGATAACACACCTCTGGGTTCAATCCCCAGTACAAAAAATAAAAAATTGAAGAAACCGGGCAGGGAGGTGCACACCTGTTACCCCAGTGGCTTGGGAGGCTGAGGCAGGAGGATCGTGAGTTCAAAGGCAGCCTCAGCAACTTAGCAAGGCTCTAAGCAACTCACTGAGACCCTGTCTCTAAATAAAATGCAAAATAGGGCTGGGGATTTAGCCCAGGGGTCGAGGGCCCCTGGTACCTCCTCCACTCCCCCCGCCCCCCAAAAAAGGAATAAAACCCAACAATGAACAAAGACCTAAATGTGAAGGACTGCACTTCTCTTTCTTTCTTGTCCTCTGAGCACACCTCCAGACTCGGAGTTTCTTCTATTTTTCCTGTACTGGGACTGAGCCCAGGGCCTGGCCCATGCCACACAAGAGCTCTACCACTGAGCGCCACCCCTGCCCTTTTCATTTGGAGACAGGGTCTCACTGCATTGCCCAGCCTGGCCTCAAGTGGCCATCTTCCGGCTGCAGGCTCCTGAGCTGCTGGGATGACAGGTGTGCGTCACCGCACCTGGCCACATTTCTTCACAAATCTCACTTTCAGGGGTGGGTGGGGAGCTGACCCCAGCCTGTCCCTGTCCCTCTGGCAAATCCCCTGAAATCCCCGAGGGCTCTTGGCACTTTTTAGCTAAGGGGGAGGAGGCAGGGGTGTGACTGGGAATTTCCTGGTGCTGTCCAGCCTGTCCTGGGGGTTTCCTTGGGTGACCCGGGAAGGCACCAGTACAGGATGATCTCAGCTGACCCTGGACACCCCAGCAGCACGGAGAATGTGGGGGTGCTGTTCTCCAGCGCCTGGCCTCCTGGGTTGCTGTGGCTGGGGGGCCATCCCTGGCCCGGGGAGTGGGCCACCGGCTCTGAGGGGAGCACATGTGCCCTGCAGCTCTGTCTCGTCCCCCTGCACCTCTCCTCCCCCTGGCCCTCTCTGTCACTTCTCCATCTCCCCGTCTGTCCCTCAGTCTCCATCCTGAGTCCTTCTCTCCATCTCCGCTCCGCTCCGCCTCTTCCTGTCCACCTCTCACTCTCCACAACTGTCTGTCTGTCTGCTTTCTGGGTGTCTTCGTCCTCCTCCCCGGGGACCCCCCCACCCTGCTTCCTGCTGCAGCCGGAAGGAAGGGAAGGAGGGCCGGAGCCCAGCCCGCTGTGCTGGGAAAGGCCACCGGGTCACTTCTCCCTTTTGCGGTCCCCCTTCCCTGCCCCCACCCCCAGGCTCTCTGCAGCCTGCACCCTCGGTGGCCAGTGGGGGGGCTGGGGACTCCACAGCCCTTGCTCATCTCTCCACTGGCCCCCAAACCGGCCAGTGAGTCAGCCCGGGAGGGAGGCTCGGTGGCGGGTGGGGCTTTCCCCACGGGTCCCCAGTGCCCTGCCTTTAGCCAAGCTCAGCAGTCCCCTAGCCAGACCCTGAGAGCGCAGTCATCGCAGCCATGACCCTGAGCCTCCTGCTGGCCCTGGCCCTCTGGGCAGGGGGCTCGTCCTGCGGGGGAAGGGCAGGTACGCAGGGCCCCGGGGGTCGGGCGGGCAGGGGCTGCGCCTCAGCCTTGGCTCTCGGAGCAGGCTGGGCACTCGCAGGCTGGCCACACGCCTGCTGTGGGGCAGGGTCACCCTCACAGTGAACGGACAGCGAAACAGAAAGCCAGGGGTCAAACCCATCCCCAGGTGCCAGCCAGGAAGGGGCGGCCACAGCCTGCAGCTTCGATGGTCCGCGTCCCTGTCCTCGCGTCCCACACCCACGGGTTACAACCACCGCAGATCAAAAACATGAGGAAGAGAGTTGTGGCTGTCCTGGGCACGCCCCCCTTCCCCTAAAGAGCACAGCCACCGCCATGTGACGGTGACAGGGTGGGTCTCCTGAGTCACCTGGAGATGGCTTGAGGTCTGCAGGACAGAGCAGGTCGGATACTTCCTACCAGGGGCATCTTGGGCCCCGGTACCATCCTGTGCACAAACTAAGGGGCCACCATAGGTAGAAGTGGAACTGCCTGCGTCCACTCCGAGCAGCGCGCCCACATGTGGACAGGGAGCCTCCCGTCCTTCACCCTCAGCCTCCCCATCTGCAAATGGGCTGGTGGGCCCGCCTTGCGTCGGTGTGTGGGGCGGCTGATGGGGCAGGTACCCGTCACCCCTGTACCCATTCTCCACATTCCTTCATGGGGCACCTACTGTGTGCCCGGTGTGGCTGGTGATATGGTGCGTGAGCCCAGGGCTGTGACCAGTCTGGTGTACAGGAAGCTCACCCTCCTCTCTTCCTCTGGTGGCCCCAGTGTCTTCAAGCCAGCCTCGGGTGAAGTGCCGTGCCTCTAGGTACCCGGTGGCCGTGGACTGCTCCTGGACCCTGCCACCAGCTCCCAACTACATCACAGCCACAACCTTCATTGCCACATACAGGTCAGAGGGACTAGAAGGGACCTCTAGGGGACAGAGGACTTGGGGAGGGGCCAGCCTTTGGCTGTGAGAGCCCTTGGAGACCCTCACATCCCAGCCTTTGGAATTCCAGCGCAGCCCCATCCAGTAGAAACCATAGGAGGGCCCACAGCGCACACCACAGGCCACCGTGCACTTGGAACCTTCTAGACGCTGCGTAAAACCAATATAAACAGCCAGGCAGAGTGGCACACGCCCCTCATCCCAGTTATCCGGGAGGCTGAGGGGGAGGTTCACAAGTTCAAAGCCAGCCTAGGCAACTCAGGGCGACCCTGTCTCAAAATAAAAAGGGGTGGGGTGTGGCTCCGAGGCTGGTGCTTGCCCAGCCCGAGTGAGGCCCCGGGTTCAGCTCCCTCCCTGGCCCGTGGGAGGCCCCGGGTTCAGCAGATGCTGCAGGAGCCCCGGCGCGGAGCCAGCTCAAGGTTCCAGCAGCCACATCCTGGGTCCCCGAATCCGAAGGCTCTGCGAACCTCCGGGTCCCTGGGCTGGGAGCCCGCTGACCTGCCCGATGTCGGGATTCATACGCTGGACTCTTTAGAACCCAGCACCCTGGTGCCTCCCGGGGCTGTGTTGGACACTCTGGGTCCCCCTGCGCTGTGACACAGGGTCACACAGCCAGCGAGGGCGGGACCCGACCAGGGCTGCCCTGCTCCCCCTCGTTGGGGTCCTGGGGTGGGAGGCCGGGAAAATGCTGAGACCTGCTGCCGCCCGCGTCCAGGCTCGGTGTGGCCGCCCAGGGGCAGAGCCGGCCCTGCCTCCAGCCGACCCCCGAGGCCACCGGCTGCACCATCCCCGACGTCCAGCTGTTCTCCCTGTCGCCCTACGTGCTCAACGTCACGGCCGTGCACCCCGGGGGCGCCAGCAGCGGCTTCGCGCCCTTCGTGGCGGAGCACGTCAGTAAGTGCGGGCGGGGCCGGGGTCGCCCTCCTGTCTCCCCCCCACCCCAACCGGCCCCTGGATCCACCCTCGCCCCCATGGCCCGTCATCCCCGCAGCAGCCACCAGGGGCGCCCTGAACACCTGCGTCGGCCTCTGGTTCCTCACCCAGAGCCCTGCGGGGCTCCCACCTCCCTCGGGTCAAAGCCGAAGTCCTCCCTGCGACCCTCAGGGCCCGTCCACTCCCTGCCTCCCTCCTCCTCTCTTCCCTCCCCTCTGCTCCAGGTACCCAGGCTCCTCACCCCCCAGTCTTGACCTGCCTCAGGGCCTTTCTGTGCCTGGAGCACCTTCCCCCAGATGTTCTCTGTCCCCACTCCTTTCACTTCCCTCAGGTCTCTGCTCAGATGTCACCCCAAGTGAAGCCTCTCAAGTATGTTGGTAAAAATGTACAAACTGTAGGCGGCAAATGCCATCATTCCAGTGACTGGGGAGGATGAGGCAGGCAGATCACAACTTTCAGGCCAGTCCAGCAACCCAGCAGGTCCCCGTATCAAGCAAAAATGTTTTCAACCCTTAATATTAGAAATTGGTGGAGTTTAGTAAAACAGTCTGGCAGAGTCCAACCAGGAGCCACCCCAAGACCCCACAAGTCCACTCTTGGGTGTCAGGGCAAGTGGAAACACAGCCACAGGAAGGTCCCCATCAATGCCCACGGCACAGACACAAGGCGGAACAGCCCAGCTGCCACCTGCAGGTGACAGATGCACAGTGGTCCATCCACACCAGAGTGTCCTTGGCCAGGGCAGGAGGAAGGAGAAGGGCCCTGCCGTGTGGATGGACCTGAGGACCTCGTGCTCAGTGACAGTCACGCAGGCCAGTATGGCTCCAGAGGAAGGGAAGGTGCAGGACAGGGGAGTCCAGGGACAGGACACGGCCCCGTGGTGCAGGGCTGGGGGGCTGCATAACTTGGTGACAGCCGGGACGCCAGAGTCCTCCTCCTCAGTGGAGAGTGCAGGATCTGTGACTCACACAGAAACACAGCGACTCCCGTCCTGCCCCACGCAGCCTGCACCTGTTTCCCCTCCTCCAGACGTCGTGAGCTCCAGGGCCCAGCAGCGGCCAGTGTGGGTCTCCACTGCGTCCTCTGTCTGGCACGATGGTGGGCGCTCAGGGAACATTGTTGGGTGGGTGAATGACTGAATGGAGCCGCGTCCTGACCCTCCCTCCTGCTGCTCCACAGTCAAACCGGACCCCCCGGAGGCCGTGCGCCTGAGCCCCCTCCCTGGGCGGCAGCTGCAGGTGCACTGGGAGCCCCCTCGGTCCTGGCCCTTCCCCGAGGTCTTCTCTCTGAAGTACTGGATCCGATACAGGCGTCAGGGAGCCTCCCGCTTCCGCCAGGTGAGGACCAGGGGGGCACGGGAGGCTGGGGGCACCTGGGCCCTGGCACTCAGCTTGGGGCCACTAGGCTGTAAGTGGAGCTGTCCAGCAAGTCCACGGCTGGTGTCAACTCAGAACCAAAAGCAGGGACTCAACAAGTGGGAAGGTGCCCAAGGTCACAGAAGTGACACGCACAGCCAAAGGCGGGACAGCCCATGTCCACGTGCAGATGAGGGGCACCCAGTGTGGGCATCTGCACCTGGAGCCCTGGCAGCGCCCAGGGAGGATGACTGTTGGGATGGGGTCCCAGCACTGGGGCACTCATGGCTGCATCATGCACAGGGCCTGCGGGGTCCACAGGGGACTGCTGCGGCCCAGCTCTAGGTCCCAGAGAGGACGGAGGGGCCGGTGAGAACAGAACGAGCTGGACTGTTGCACTGAGAAGCACCCGAGGCTACAGGGAGAGAAGGCAGGCCTGTAGCGGCCCAAGGAGGAAGGCCTGCCCTGGGGGTGGCGTACGCTCCAGCAGGGCATCACGTGGCCAGAGCCAGGGAGCCCTTGTCTCCTCTGGCCTCTGGCTCTTCTTAGTCACCAGGGACGCACCAGCACCACAGGGATACACCACGGGGCTCCCCTGAGGACCTCCTCCAATCCTGATCCCTTTCCAAAGCCTCACCTCTTAGCATCAGACCCCCACAGTGGGGATAGACTTCACACACAAACCAGGCCCCAAACTTACCAGGGCCACACAGGGCGTGGTGAGGGACAGGCCGTGGGGACCAGCGTCCTGGGGCAGGGCTGGCAGCTGCAGGAGGGCTCTGTGCACAGGCCCCACCCACCTCCCACCGACCCTCTCTGCTCACAGGTGGGGCCCATCGAAGCCACTAGCTTCACCCTCAGAGCTGTGCGGCCCCAGGCCAGGTACTGCATCCAGGTGGCAGCCCAGGACGTCACGGACTACGGGGAGCTGAGCGACTGGAGTCTCCCTGCTGCCCCCCCCCCCATGACCCTGGGCATGTAGCAGCCTCCTGGGGCTCCACAGGGACTGGGTCCTTGGACACCTCCTCCCTGCCACTGTCCAGAGGGTGGATGGGATCCCCCTGGCCTGAGCACACCTCTGGCTCCACTGCAGCCCGAAGAGGGTGACCTTGACGAGTAACTGCCTGCCTGAGCCTCCATTTCCCACAAAGAAACAGGGACATGCCCTCTCCCCACCACAGCACGGGGCTCTGTGAACTGTGAACCTCACATATTTTTATTAGATAATTTAATTAGAAGAATTGTTAACAGAAGCCCGTCTCCGTCCATTCTGTGTTCAGAGAACAGAACCCCCCAGGCGGGGGCAGAGCTGGGCGCCTATGCAGAATGAATAGAGGCTGCCCGGAAGCCTGTAGGCATGGCTGGCTCTGGCCCCCAGCGAGGGCCACCTCTGTGTCATACCAGGGCGGAGGTGCAAAGGCAGGGGAGCTTGAGGTGAGAGCTGAGGGCTACACTCTCCCCTGCTCAGCCCCCTCCCTGGATGCCCAACCCACTGCTGAGGGGAGGCCTCCATCCATCCCACACACCAGATCTCAGCACCTCCATTCACTCAGGTAAGAACCAGAGAGGACTCAGCCCCAGGCCCTGCCCTTGAGATGAACCCGAGATGAGAAAATTGCAGAAGGGCACAAACACAGCAAGTCTCCCTGCCCAGGGGGCCAGCTCTGGACACAGACCAGGGCCTGGGGACATCAAGGGGTGGGGGGCAGACTTCTGCCTGGAATGCTTCGGCAGAATCCGTGTGGTTCAGGGCTTGTTCCACTCCCCTCCTAAGGCTGCCCAGAAGCAGGAGTCACCAGGGAAGGGTAAACCTGAGGAGCCTACAGGGAGCCAGGCCCTGAAGGTCAGAGAAAGGGCGTGGGTCTTGGTCTCCTGGTGCCACCGGGGGAGGCCGAGTCCCGGGCAGGCAGAGTAGAGCTCCAGACACCTAGCCCTCATCTCTGGACCTGTGAACACGGTCCCTGCCACAACCAAGAAAGCCTTGGACTGGAAAGTGCTTTTGGTTCTTCTGGGTTGACACCAGCCGTGGACTCAAAAGTGTGGTTAAGATGAAAGATCTTTCATTAAGTCGATGACATTTAGGGGCTGGGCGGTGGCTCGGTGGCAGAGCGCTTGCCTGGCAGGTGAGAGGTCCTGGATCCGATTCTCAGCACCACATATAAGTAAATAAAATTAAGGTCCATTGACAACTAAAAACATCTTTTAAAAATTAATGAAGATTAAGGGGAGTTACCCTGAATTACGTGGCTGCACAAAGGCCCTTCTAAGGCAGAGGCCACGGTGGCAGCGGGAACGGGGGGGGGGGGCATTCGGGCACACGGCCTCTCCGAGGGCACCAGCCCTGCCCCTCCACGCCGGCCCGCCGACCACGAGGTCGCCTGCGCGGCTCCACCACCAGCAGCAAGTGGTCACTCGCCAAGGCCACGCAGGCCGCTCCTCCCACGCTTCAACGTCGCCCTGGGTCGCTCCCCCGCGCCAGGCAGCGGTCGGTGGCGGGGTCTCGGTCCACGCCGCGGCGGGCGGCGACTCACGACGAACAGGGCCCGGAGGCCAAACCCGGGGCCGCCGCAGAGGGCCCTCGCATGGACCCGCCGCGGCCAGAACCGCGCCGACCCTGCTCCTGCGCGTCTCGACTCCCCCGGGGCCGAACCCGGGTCCGCAGGGCGGGGGCCGCGGGCGTGGAGCGCACAGAACGCGGAGCCACCGGGCCCCGCACGAGCGCCGCGGCCGGAGCCCGGCGCCGGGCCGGGGGCGCCGAACACACGCTACACACTTTGCCGAGTCAAAGAGTGAACGGCGGCGTCCCCGGCCCGCCACGCCGCGCCGGGACAGAACCGCAGAGCAGCTGCCGACGTCCGGAGGGCGCAGCACCTCCTCCAACTTCTCAGACCTACACCGACCCCAGAACCTTTATTTCGCGCCACCGAAGTTGGAACTCCGGAGGGAAGATAGGAGGACTCGAAGCTTGATAGGCTGCAGTCAGAGCCAATGAGAAAGGCAAGCTGTGTAGGTTGCCGTCAGTAATAGAAGCCGAAGGAAGTGACGTAAGCGGAAGTGCAAGCATAATCAGAGAAGCTCCATAAATAACGAATCTAACCCCTTGTCTGGAACTAGCGAGACGAGAAGGCGGCAAAGATGTCGGAGCGCAAAGTTTTAAACGTAAGTATTCGGCAACCAGGGCTTTCCATCTGGCGCGGGACACCGGGGGACTCCGGGGGAGGTGGACTTCCTGTAATTTCCTTTTGGAACTTTTTCGCCCCCTTCAACGGCCTTCCGCGGGGAGGGGCTTCCGAAACCCCTCCCAATCGCCGTCCTTGGGTGGTGGGCGTTCGCGAAGCCTCGCCTTCTGGGGGCGGAGCTTGCAATCATCATCCAATCCCCTCGCTAGACTGGGATTTCCGCGGGAGGAGACTGTTCTGCACCACCACGTTCGGCGAGAGCCCTGCCCCTCTTGGTGGCTCTAGCCAATCCTGTTCCTTGGAAGGGTTAGGCTTTGCCACATTGGCTCTGCAAGTGGGGGACTGTCCCCAAGTCCTCAGTTCCCCCCTATCTGTTGAGGGGACATTAGAAGTCTGTTAGTCCATGTACCTACACTTCAAGACACCAGTTTTCTCCAGAGTTATGTCAACAATATCTGATTTCTGAGTAGATGAAGCAAGGAAGGTTCAGTTTCCTCCTCTGTAAAATAGGCACATTTTGCTCTCTGGTAGAATCTTTGCTAGGGTTCCTCGAGGTGAGGGAGACAGGGCACTCTGTGGTTCTTGAGGTTCACTAGGTGCTCACAGGAAGCGCCTTATTTTCTGATAGTGCAGTGGAGTTATTTTTGTAACCCAAACTGGCTATCCTATTTCTCAGCTCCATTCCTGTGCAGAAAGCAGTTACAAGGGCAGGCATGAGGCTGCTGTCTTTAAAGTTTGCTTTCAGCTATGTTCAGTGGTGCACGCCTATGATCCCAGCAACTTGGGAGGCTGAGGCAGGAGGAAGGCAAGTTAGAGGGCAGCCTGGGCAACTCAGTAAGATCCTGTCAAAATAAAAAGTCGAGGGGAGGGAGTGTGCACCTCAGTGGTAGAGGTCTTGCCTAGCATGTGTGAGGCCCTGGGAGCCGTTCCCCACACTGCAGAAAGGGGGGAAACCAAGGGCAAAAAGAAAGAAGAGGCTGCTTGCCAGTTTTTTCTTGGCTGGTGTCTGGGAGCTTGAATTTCGGGATGGTTCCCTGATGACAGTGGCTCTCGGTACCTGTGCTGTTTGTGCCAACAATGTGGTTGATGCTGAACCCCGGTGCTTTTGTGGGAGCCTGGAATCTTGGCACACGCTGGGCAGAAGGGGCAGCCGTGGGTCTGGGAGATTCCCTGGTAGACTCATTTTGCGCATATTGTCCCAACTCATCGTGGTATTCCATGCATCTTGTGACTGCTTGAAGAAGGTTCTGGAAACTTGTCTGCACCACCCACCTGACCTCCCCTCCAGGACGTGGGCTGATGGTTCTTGGAATCCTTTGGTGTGATAAACCTTGGCAGTGAGGGATGCCCTCCGGGGAGGATGCCCTCCAGTCCCCAGCCCTGGGATGCTCTTGCCCTGACGAGGTTCCCAGGCCCCTTACCTCTGCTCACAGCCTGCCTCCATGTCTGAAAGACACTTCCTTCCTCTCCACAGAAATACTACCCTCCAGACTTCGACCCTTCAAAGATCCCCAAACTCAAGCTCCCCAAGGACCGGCAGTACGTAGTGCGGTTGATGGCCCCGTTCAACATGAGGTGAGTGTCCTGCGGGGCCACCCCATTCACAGAAGATGGATAGGGTGACCACCTCCACAGAGCTGGCCCGTCCCCGGGTGCAGCCCAGGTCCCCAGCCCAGGCTTAGACATCAACCCAGTGAGCCCGCAGCCTCTCAGTGCCTCCCTGCCCTGCCCTTTCGAGGTTCAACTCCCTGACCGCTTAGAGCCCCAGCGGAATCCGCCATGTCCACCCTTAGTGCAGGTGTGAAGACACAGAGGGCTGCACCTTCAGCTCTGCGGCCCCATCAGTCAGGCCTTTGCTGCCTCAGGGCCTTTGCAGGAGCCACAGTCTGTCTGAAGCTGCCGTGGGCTGGCCTCACCCCACCGTGACCCACCAGCTCAGCCATCACCCTCCTACAGCACCTGGATCTTGCCCTTTCTCCCCCTTTCAAATTACTAAATTTAGTTAACTCTGGGTCGCACAGTGTTCACATTCCAGCGTACCTGGAATCCCAGACACCTGTCAGTCAGGACACCTTGGGGCACTGGGATGGAGAATGTCTTCACGTGTCAGGGACTGGATCGTTTTCTGTCTCTGTCACTCCCTCCTTTAGCAGTCTTTATCAGGCCCCATTTGTCAGCGCCAGTGTGTACACAGGTGCCGGGGACAACCCTGGGACCCACAGTCTGTGGGAAGTGGAGGTGATAGGTCATCGGGTGGATGCACACAGGGCGCATGTGGACGTGCTCATCAGGCAGGAGAGGGAGGGCCTCTTAACTGGGGTCAGCAGAGAAATGTCAAAAGAAGCACCAATGGAATTGAGGGCTGAGGAAGAAGGTGTCACAGGTGTGGGAACTGCAAGCAAAGGCCCTGAGGTAGGACCAAGACGGAGGTGCTTGTAGGAAGAAAAGGAGGCGGGGGTGCTGGGGGGAGCCCAGGGCCGTAGTGGAAGGGTGGCAGGAGCTCTGTCAGCCTCTGCCTGGCGACCTGGATGTCTTTGAGCACAGGCTTGTTCCAGGAAGGTCGGGCAGGCTGACCTCCCCAGGCTGGGTGCTCCCCAAGGAGGCAGCCTGTGGTCAGAGGTCCAGCTACAGGGGCGAGGAGAGCGGCAGGGGGGCCGGGCCTCGGAGGGAGGGAGCCCCGCCTCTGAGGCACTCGCTGCACACACACACACACACACACACAAGGGGGGGGGTGGCAGTCTGCCGCAGTGCGAGTCCCCATGCTCCCAGGTGTAAGACGTGCGGAGAGTACATCTACAAGGGCAAGAAGTTCAATGCTCGCAAGGAGACGGTGCAGAACGAGGTCTACCTGGGCCTGCCCATCTTCAGGTTCTATATCAAGTGCACGCGCTGCCTGGCCGAGATCACTTTCAAGGTAGGGCCGGCCACCGCACCTGCTCCCCCCCCCCCAGGGAAACCCCTTTACAGTTCATCCCAGAAGCAGGAGGGCCTGGGGAGGGGACCGCGGAGCAGCTGAGGCAGCCCAGGTGGAATCGGGGACCCGAGGCAGACGCTGCTGGGGGCCTCCACAGGCCGCAGAGACACACTTTGCTTTTGGTCATCACCTTAAGGATTTGGGGACAGGATGAGGAGAACTTTTTGTGGTGTTGGGGATTGAGCCCAGGGCCTTGGGCATGCGAGACGAGCGCTCCACCACTGAGCTGTGTCCCCAGCCCCGAGGGGCACCCTTGGACACTGTTGTCCATACTCTGCAGTGTCTGAGGGTTTGGCAGTGGTTTCTTTTTGTTGTTCTTGTTTGTTTGTGTTTCTGCTTTGTTTTTTTGCAATTAATTTTTTTTTTTACTTAAATGAACAAAAAGTACATTTTTAGAAATTATACGTTTTGGGGCTGGGGTTGTGGCTCAGCGGTAGAGCACTCACCTCGCATGTGCGAGACCCTGGGTTCGATCCTCAGCACCACATAAAAATAAATAAGTGAAATAAAGGTGTTGTGTCCAACTATAACTAAAAAATAAATATTTTTTTAAAAATTATACATTTTAAGCCAGGCACAGTGGTGCACTTAGCAACTCAGGAGGACTCCTGTTCTTCCACTGTCCTGAGCAACTTAGCAAGACCCTATCTCAAAATCAAAAATAAAAAGGGCTGGGGATGTGGCTCAGTGGTCAAGCACCTCTGGGTCAATCTGTGGTACTAAAAAAGAGAAAAATGGATTTTAACCTGAATTCTGAAGGTCATGAATATAAACACGCATGTGTTTTTCAAAGACCAACAGACTGTGGCCTCAACCCTTTATAACAAGACACCTGTCTTAACCCTTTATACTGATGCCTGTGTGGACGTGGACTAAGAACAGAATCCACACAGCACTGCCTTCCTGAAAAGTCCCGCCGTCGCCCGCCGCCACCTGCCCAGCCAGTTTACAGTTAACAGTTTACGTTCCACAGCTGAATCCTTGCGTTTAGAGCAAACAGATCTATTCTCTAGAAGCAGTTGAATTAATTGGGAAAGTCACATTTTTTCCTTCATCCTTAATGGTCATATGAGAAGTCGCAACTATACTTATCAACGGGAACACAAAAACAAACCAGCCCGTTCCCAGAAACATGCTGCGCTCCTCCAGAGGATGGGCGCCTTGTACCATCCACCTCAGTAGGGCCTTGCCTTTGCCGGAGTCAGGGGAGGGCGCAGCAGATGGGGAAGAGTTAAGCCCGTGAGCGGGGAGCAGCCCGGTCTGCCCGCCTGGTGCCCTGGCACCCAGGCTGCCGCCGACTCCTGCCTGCTCCTCCCAGACAGACCCTGAAAACACCGACTACACCATGGAGCACGGGGCCACGCGGAACTTCCAGGCGGAGAAACTCCTGGAGGAGGAGGAGAAGCGGGTGCAGAAGGAGAGGGAGGACGAGGAGCTGAACAACCCCATGAAGGTGGGTGCGCTGGCGGGGGCGGGGCCGGGGTGGTGGTGGACGGAGCCACCTGCTGATCCACGCCCTGCGCATGGGGCCTGGGCTGTGGTGAGGAAGGAGCCTCCTCCCTCGGCCTGGGGCCTGTCACTGTGCACAGCTGTCCTCGCCCAGGGGCTCTCCAGGGGGACTTGGTCTGCCACCCGCCCCTCTAATCGAGTCTAGACAGGACAACTCGGAGCAGCACGGAGGTCACCAGGGGGGAAAGCAAGCAGGTGGCCTCTGGGAGCCAGGAAAGCCAGAAGAGGAAGGGGCCCCGGGCCTTCACCCCGGAGGAGTCCCTGCAGTGGGGCTGGGCCTGCAGCCTGTGGGCAGCCAGGGAGGCCCGTGAGATGACCAGGGCACTCCTGACCCCCAGCCAGGAGGCCAGGAGGCAGTGCTGCCGGAGCCCCAAGTTACCCAGCAGGAGAGAAGAGGGGGCAGGAGCTGGTCCGCAGAGGACAGGTGCTTCCCGGAGCCCGTCAGGCCACTCAGGCCAGGGCTGTAACGACCGGAACTCCCGCTCTGGGACCTGGGGAAGCCGTGTGCGCTCTGGGCCTCTGGGTCCCCGTGCGTAAGGCTGTTCTGCCCCTGCTCCGGGGAGGACCCAGGGGAACGTGTGGGTGTTCTTTACGGCCACCCGGGTGCAGTTCCACAGGGCAGGCCTGGCCGGCCACACGGCCAACAGCACCCAGGCAGCGTCCCCCGCCGGTTGTGCTGGCCGCCAAGTCCCCTGGGTGGCCCAGTCCCTGAGCCTGGCTGCTTTGGAGAGGTTGGGAACCTCGGCCCGGACCCTGGAGCAGGTGCCGGTTGTCCTGTACCCATGGCCCTCAAGGAAGGTGCCAGGCTGGACCCGGCTTCTCTGGGGCCGGCTTTGGCGGTCACTCCCCGAACCTCGGGGTTCCCGAAGACCTGAGGGGACCTCCTGAGTGGAGGGGCGCCCAGGGTGGTGGCCAGGCCGGGCGGGCGTGGCCTTGACGCCGGGTGCCGCAGGTGCTGGAGAACCGCACCAAGGACTCCAAGCTGGAGATGGAGGTGCTGGAGAACCTGCAGGAGCTGAAGGAGCTCAACCAGCGCCAGGCGCACGTGGACTTCGAGGCCATGCTGCGGCAGCACCGCCTGTCGGAGGAGGAGCGCCGGCGGCGGCAGCAGGAGGAGGACGAGCAGGAGACCGCGTGAGTGTCCCGCCCCCGTGCCCCCGGCACCCCCCCCTTCCTGGGGCCACCGTCCCTCGTGGTCTCTCATGGCATCTGTCCTCGGGGTCCTCGAGCCCACTGTGCTCCGCCGTCCCCTGGGGTCCCCAGCTCAGCACCGGCTGTCCCCGGCCGTGGGTTTGGTTTTCTTGTGGGATGGTCTCTGGTGCTGGGCAGGCGCTGGGCCACCGAGCCACACCCTCGGCTGTGGTGTTGGGTGGCGGGTCGCAGAGCAGAGCCACCTGCTGGAGACGGCGCGGGGACTGGGGAGCCCGGGCAGGGCTCCGGGAGTCTTCCAGGGGTCACTCAGTCCGCTCGGTTTCCCCACAGTGAGCTGTGGTGGCAGAGCAGAGGTCACTGCGGGCTGGCAGAGACCCTTTCTTGTCCTGGGGAGCCACACAGGTCCCCAAGGCCCCCCAGGCCCCCCACATCCCCCAGGCCCCCCTGGGCCCCCCAGGTCCTCCCTCAGGCCCCTCAGGCTCCCCAGCAGCCAGGCTCCAGGGAGAGCAGCGCGGAGCAGGAACTGCACCCAGGGTTGAGGCCCAGCACCCCTGTGGGGAGGGGAGCCCCCAGCCGTATTCTGGGGTCACAGCCGCAGGCCTCCTGGGTCAGTGCCTGACCCCTGACCACCGTGCGCCTTCTGTAACTTTGCTCCATTGCTGGTCGGTCCTGTCCTGTAGCTGTGTCTCTGTCCCCCTGGGCCTTGGGTGGGGTCAGAGCACAGCAGGGCTTGGTGGCACCTGGCGCAGGCAGTGGTCACTCTGCCACAGCCAGCTACTTACCTGGCACTTGCCCCCTGCCCTGCCTTGGCAGCTGGTGTGGCCATCAGCGGGTCCAGGGCTGAGGCCAGTGTCCAGGCAGTCCCGAATAGTCCCCAACCAGGGCTGGAGCCCAGACGCGCTGACCTCAGTGTCCAGGCACCTGGCCACTCACCCCTCAGGGAGCGGGGGGGGGGGTGAGCCTCAACACGTGGTGCGCCCTTCCCACGTCCGTCTGGCAGGGACAGTAGAGCCCTGGCAGGGGGTCCTGGCCGAGTCCCCTGCGGAGCACCCCCAGCCCTGACCTTCCCACAGGGCCTTGCTGGAGGAAGCGCGGAGGCGACGGCTGCTGGAGGACTCAGACTCTGAGGAAGAGGCCGCGCCCGCCCCGCCCCGGCCCGCGCTGCGGCCCCAGCCCACCGCCATCCTGCACGAGGTGAGCCCCGGGCCCCCTGCCGCAGTGCTGCGGGACGGGGAGCCCGGGCAGCTGGGCGGCCCTGGAAGGCTGGGCAGCTGGCACTGCAGGTGCTCCGGCCGCCTCAGGCCCTGTGCCATGCGCCAACTGTTGCTGAAACCGGGTGACGAGTGGCAGGTCTGCTGTCCCCTCCCTGCTGAGCCTGGGAAGCTGGGCAGAGTGGACACTGAGGTTTGCTTCTGGTCACAAGCCAGTCCCCTGGGCAGTCAGGACTTCTGGGCAGCTCTGCTGGCCCTACTGAGCCATTCAGGGGCTCAGGCTCCCGGTGGCTCCTAGAGTGTCTCTTGGAGCGGCTGTCCCTGTCCAGGTGGCCCAGGTGACCCAGGTGGCCCGTGGCACCGCGTTGCAGCTGAGGGGAAGCAGGGAATGGGGGCTCCCCCAGACCTGGGTGCGGCCCACCATGGCCCCCAACATCCCCCTGGACCAGAACACGGTCTCCAGGCTGAGTCTAGCTGCGAGGGAGGCTGGGAGGAGGCTGGCTAGCTGACTGGGCTGACCGCACCGCTAACTGGACAGGAGGGAAGAACAGAGCCTTGTGGGCAGCCAGGTCCAGCGCTAGCCACTGGGCAGACCTCAGGTGACAGCAGTTCCAACTGCGCGGACATTTGCTTCTCCCTCCTCACACTCAGGAGGCCCTGGGTTCTGCCCAGCACAGAAGGTCAAAGAGCTCTGGCCCCCGCTGCTGCCCCCTGCTGTTGCCCACCCACCGCCACCGTCCAGGGCCTGGGGTCCTGCTCCTGCAACCCCTCCCCTCTGCTGGCCCCTCCTCATCCCTCAGGGTCCCTCAGCACCACCGATGCCCCCAGCACCTTTGGGAGTGCTGTCCCACTGCCTGCCTCGGGGGACGGTGCTGGGCACACCTGAGCTGGACGTCTGCCTGTCCCGCGCCCCTCGCTGTCCCGCCCCAGCTGCTGCCCGCAGGGCCTCAGTCCCATGGTTGCCAGTTCTGTTTAAACACGGGGACAGGGCCCCGGGGTGGGTGAAGAGTCCTGCTGAGCCCCTTCCTGCCCCCTCCTGGGCAGGGCCTCCGTTTCCACTGGACCCTCAGACATGGTGACTGGCGCCCAGGGAGTGGCAGGAACCCTGTGGGGGGCAGCGGACAAGCGTGGCGACAGGACCTAGCCGCCCATGGGGCCAGGCAGACAGCTAACAGGCAGCCAGGGCGGTGGGCACTCGGGCCTCCGAGAGACACTTGACGGGTCTTGAGGGACGAGTCGGAGCTCGCCAGGGCAGGAGGAGGGAAGGGGCGTCAGGGAGGAGTGGGCGAGAAGCCGAGGTGCCAACGGGGTGTGAGGGGAGGAGGCGCAGGACGCCACACCCAGCCTAGGGCCACGGCTCGCCAGGTGACAGCAGGGCAGGGGCTGGGGCAGGGAGCCCAGAGAGGGACTGGACTGGGGCAGGCCACTCACGAGTCCGGTCACCCTACAGGCCCCGAAGGCCAAGAGGAAGGCAGAGAGCGCGGGCAGGGCCCAGCTGTCGGGCCTGGTCGTGGTGAAGAAGACGAAGACGGCCGCAGCGGGGAGCACGGGGCAGGGCCCCAGCCCAGGTGAGGTCCCCAGAGCTGGGCGCAGTGCCTCCCGCCGCCCCGGTTGGCAGCAGTGCCCTTACGGTTCTAGAAGCTTCATGTGGGGTGGGGCGCGGCCTGTCCGCCACAGGGGCCAGTTACTGGACCAGGGGAGAAGGGCTGGGGCTCATTTTTCCTTTAATTACAGATGGAAGTGGCCCCTCAGGGCCCAAGGCCCGGGCTGCATGTGGCTCTGCTGCAGCGCTGGGCAGGCCCGGGGAGGCCGGCCTCCCTCCCTGCACCTCACACACAAGATCCAAGTCACACAGCAGCTTATAAGATAAGGCCCGTGGCCCGCCACCCCTGTCTTCAGATGTCACGGTCCCCTGCGGACCCCTGGCAGGTGTTCACAGCTGCATGGCCCCCAGCCCACATCAGCTCCTGAGGTGGAGAATCGTGGGTGAGACGGGTCGAGGGGCTGAGCCACCTGGCTGCCCACCCTGGCCTCCCGCCTGCTTACCTGGCCTGCGCCAAGGGACCCCCACCCGCCTCTTTCCTGTCCTTTAAAATTCAAGCAGAAATGTGGCACGGCTGGCGGGAAGCTGGCGGGCACTCCCTGGTGGGACGTCCGGGCGCCATGAGCCACTGTGGCCAGTCCCATGTTGCCCCTTCAGCCAGATGCGCAGGTGGCCTCACCTGGAGCCGCGAAGCAGGGTGGACAGTGGGCCCGGTCCCTGCCCGCTCTGTCACAGTGGCTCAACTTGGACATGGAGCCGTCTCCATTCAGCAGTGCGTTCACCTGCCAGGGCAGGTGTCCGCGGGCCACAGGCTGGAGGCCAGGTGGCCGAGTCCCCTCCAGGCGCCCTCCACAGGCTGGGCCACGCCACCTGTGCCCTGAGCCTCACCAGGCTCTCAGGACTGTGGGGCTGAGCCTCTCCTGTCCCCACAGGTGCCTCGGAGAGCAAGAAGACCACAGACCCTGCACCCCGCACGCCTGGCACCTCCTCCCTGAGCCAGCTGGGCGCGTACGGGGACAGTGGGGACAGCGACGGCAGCAACTGAGAGCCCCACCCAGGCCCAGGGCATCTCAGGTCTCGGTGCGGCCGTCCGAGGCGGGAGCTGCTCATGGTCTGGGCAGGAGGCTGCACACGACCTGGGCCACGGGCAGCAGCAGCAGCGTCACCCAGGCCGAGGGCCAGCCAGGCTGCGGGGGACTCGGTTTCTCTGCCACCTGCAGCGGCCCTGCGGCACCTCAGGTTCCTTCCCACCTGCAGGGTCCAGGGTTGAGCTCCTGCAAGCCCAGCGCCCGCGGCCTCCCGGCCTCTTCCCGGGCAGGTCTGAGGGCAGCCGTGTTCTGGGATGGGGGCGTCCTTCCCTACTTGGCTCCCTCCCTCGCCCCCTAGAACTGTCTAGAACCAATAAAAGGGCCTTGCCGCACTGGCCAGGCACCTTCTCTCTGCCAGGATCTAGCAGGGTTTGGGGTGGCCCCGGGCTCCGCGGGCCCCGCGTACCACTGTTGGTGCCCGGATCCCGCGTCTGCTCCTTTGCTGTCGCTGCAGCGCCGCGCCTGAGGTCGGGCCCTTTATAAAGAAGTTGGTTTGGCTCACAGCCCCCGAGGCTTGGCTCTGGCAAGGGCCACCGTAACCGCGTTGCCTAGCGGGTGGCATCACATGTGGCAGCAGTGGGTGCCAGAGGGACAGGTCACTCGGTGAGCCGGGAGCAGAGCTGGGGAGGCCCGGCTCACCGTGGGGTGGCCCAGGTCTGGGAGACAGCAGTTCCTTCCAAGGACCGCCCTGTGACCAGCCACCTCCACCCTCCCTGCTCAGGGACGCTCCCCACACCTGAGCCACACCCAACCACAGCAGCATCCCTCCCCGGGACAGGTGTCCCCTGCTCAGTGGCTGCCTGCTGGGGTGGGCCGGAGGTGGGACTGCACACGGGAAGGAGGTGCGTGCTGGTGGCTGGGGCGCCCCAGGGCAGAGGGGCTCGGAGCGGGGTGCTGGCGGCCCGGGAGGCCCCAGGTTCATCCCAGCACCACAAAAATAAACAAGTAAGTAGAAAAGGGGGAGAGGTGGGCCAGGCCTCGGGTGTGGCTTAGGGACGTCTCCGGGTTGGGCAAGGCCTGGGGCTGGCCCTGTCCCAATGTGACCTTATAAAGGGGGATTTGGAGCCAGGTGCAGTGACCACCCCTGCCACCCCGGCTACTCAGGAGGCCGAGGAGGAGGAGGAAGATGGCAAGTTGGCAGCCAGGCTGGGGGCTCCGTGGTGGAGCACCCCAGGTCCCCCCACCCCGTACCAAAAATAAAGGGAACTTGGACAGCAGGCGGGAGGACAGTGGGGGGGCGGGCCCTGAAGGGCACTGGGCTCCCAGAGCCTGGGGGAGGCATGAAGGACCCACTAGGTTCCAAGGGAGCCCACCCTGCTGGCCTCCACAGAGGGTAGCAGAAATGGGTCCCATGAGGCGCTCGCGGATGGGCGGAGGCCTCCCTGGGGGACACCTGGCCGTTCCCTTGTTTGCGACGCCTGACCCTCATGTGCGTGTTCCTCACATGCCATCTCCACCTCTGTCCTCTCTTCTGAGGACTCTTGAAAATGGAGACCGTCAGGAAGGACCTCCAAAGGATGGTTTGTGTTGCACTAACCGGGGACGGAGGGGCAGGGCCCTAGAGAGGGGGCTTAGCACAGCAGTGCAAAGGGCCTGGGGCAGGACCAGCCAGTGGAGCAGAGGAGCCCAGTGGGCTGGGGAGGGCTCCACGGGGTCTTGAGAGCTCGCCATGGCCTGTGTCTGCCCTGAGCCCGCGTTCCTCTGGTTGTGTGGGTGGTTGTACTTGGGGCCTGATGGCAGCGCTGTGCGGCCGAGACCTGGCACGGCACGTGTTGGAGACTGACGTGACTTGCCAAGGTTCCTTGTCCCCTGGGTACCCCTCGTCAGAGGGAGGAGCTGCACCCTCCTGAGGCAGGCTGCCTTGGGGACCAGCTGGGGCCCTTGGGGGCAGGGACGTCCCTTGGAGACTGGTATATGGGACTTGGAGCTTCTTGATGGCAGCCCCTGGAGACCCTGAGCAGGGCCGCCCGGCCAGGCCCGTCAAGGGTTCCTGGCTTTCAGAACCAGGAGGTGGGGCGTTGTTTGGTGCCCAGTTGGGGGACTGTGTCCTGGCTGCGGTGGGTCACTAGCGTGGTGGCTGGCCCCAACTCTGAACAGCTCTCCTCCTCGGGGGTGGCCACATGTCCCCGATTCTCTGGCTCCAGGAGCAGCTACTGGGAGACCCACCCCACTTCTCCAGCACCTGGGTGGCCTCACCCAGACGGGCACACTGACTGGGGTACACACTGACTGGCGTTTGGTGGTCGCGTTTCGGGAGGTGGGGTCTCCCTCCTGTGACTTCTCCATGTGGAGCCTCGTGGCCTCAGCCAGGCTCCCGGAGGGGAAGCCCAGGGAGGAAGGGCCACCTGAGACCCTCCCTCGGGGTCAGGGGCTGAAGCACTTTTATGGGAGGATGTCCCTGTGCTGGGACAGGGGCCCTGACATCCTGGGTGCCCGCAGACTTCTTTCAGGCAGATTCTGCAAGTGAGCACCCTTCAAGGAGGAGGGAGGGACGGTCCCTGAATGATTAGGGGACAGTGGGGGTGGCAAAGCAGCTCTGCAGATGGCTTCCTGGGAAGGCGCTCCAGGACCAGCCAGAGCTCCCTGACAAGGCCCCGGGGTGACAGTGGCAGCTGGTGACAGTCATTGGATGTGCGCGTCTTCTGTCTTCTGCATTCAGCAATGTTTAGCAGCTTCACATGTCTGCGGGGAGGGCTTGGCGCACCAGAGAGCATCCCAGCTCTAGAGGGTAGCTGCCAGCATCTCCCGACACACCACCGCCTCTCCCCCACGTCACGCCCACTGGCCAGCCTTTCCCAGGCCCTTGCTCTAAAGCACCCTTTTGCTTAAATTCTCGTTTTTCAGGCACTGGGGATTGAACCCAGCGGTAACCCACCACTGAGCCACTCCCAGCCCTTTTTTTTTTTGAGACAGTCTTGCTATGTTGCTGAGGCTGGCCTCAAGTTTGTGAACCTCCTGCCTCAGCCTCCTGAGTTACAGAGAATGTAGGTGTACACCACTGCACCTGGCTTCTCTGGTTTCTTTTGATTTATTCACACTTAACTTTTGCCAAGTTCATGGAGCATCTATTACTATTATTTATCTAACAGCACTAAATTTTAATCTGACCACATTCTAAACTGCAAAATTAAAAAAAATAGAAACAATACATATGAAAATGTAGTATAGTGGAGTTAATATAAAAATAAGGATTTTGTATGATGTATTCTATTACATTAGGTACAGTAATAAAATATAAGTCAAATAAATGCAAACTGCAACCACAGGCCAAATCTGGCCCTGGGTCTGTCTTTATAAATAAAGTTTTATTGACAGCCTGACCTGCCTACTTGTGTGCTCCTCCTTCCTGCCCCTCTGACCCCATGAGAGCTGAGAACCCGCAGGTAGTCACCGTGGGTCATCCAGCTCCTCGGATCCGCTCTGGTTCCCAGGCCTCCCAGGACGGGGGTCATGACAAGACTCCAGCCCTGTCCCTAGGCCCACTCTTTTCCTGCAGCTCCCCAGCCGTGGCCACCTGAGGACAAGCCCCAAAGCCCCACCCCTCTGCCGTGACTCTGTGGCCAGAGGGAGTGCAGAAGTCACTCAAGAGAGCAGGGCCAGCAGCACCGGAGATGCAGGACTCACCATTGAGGACCCTGGGCTGAGCTGCCTGTGAACCCCGTCACTCCTGTTCCCATTACAAGGTGGAGTCCATCTGCCCAGTTCACATGTGTTTATTGAGCACCTACTGTGCACCTGGTTCTGGTTTAGGCACTGGGGCCACAGCAGTGAAAACAGGCAAAGCCCCCTCCCGGAGAGTGGCTTTCTTCTTGGGAGGTGGGGGTGTAAGAGATCACGCGTCCAGATACAATAAACAAAAGAAAGCTGGGCACCTGGGATCCCAGCCCCTCAGGAGGCCGGGGCAGGAAGATGTCACCTTCCGGGCCAGCCTAGGCAACCTAGTGAGACCCTGTCTCAAAATAAAAGGGCTGAGGAGGCAGCCAGGGATAGAGCACTGCAAATTAAATAAATAAGATGGAAACAATAAATATGAATAAAATGTAACATAATTAATAGTATAAATCTAATAAATAAGTATTGTATACAATGTATTTTTATTGTATTAGGTACAATAATAAAAAATAAGTAAAATGAATGCTCCCTGGACAAGGGGGTAACCATGGTGAGAGCGAGGGGCTGAGGTGCAGGGGGCCTTCCGAGGTGCGTTCTGCCCGTGTATGTTTCAGTGCTGCATGACACCTTACTCCCAAATTCCCTGGCTTAAGGCAACAGAATCGCCAGTGTGGCTTCCGGGGATATCGGCAGGAAATCTGAAAGTAGAAAACACTGGGGCCAGGCACATGGCACACGCCCGCCATCCCAGAGACGTGGGAGGCTGAGGCAGGAGGATTGCAAGTTTGAGTCCAGCCTCAGCAACTTAGCAAGGCCCTGTCTCAAAATAAAAAAATAAAAAAGGCTGAGGATGTGGGTGGTTAAGCACCCCTGGGTTCAATCCTCAGTACAGAGCGGGCACACACACACACACACGCACACACACACACTAGGGGCCGCCCTGTGTCTATGGGAGGATCACTGGAACCCAGGAGTCCAAGGTCTGTCAGCCAAAACCAAAAGCGCTGGGTGAGACTGCGCGTGCTCGCCGGGGGGCACCTCCCTAGCACGCACGGATGGCTTCCATCGCCAGCTCCACTCACACAAAATGAGCCAGAGACACAGACAAGCTGCAGCCGGTGTCATCTGAAGGCTCGGCCGGGAAGGACTGGCCTCCATGTGGCCCACAGGACATTGCCCACACTTGCTTCCAAAGGCCCACAGAGAGGGCAGTGTCCCCACCAGCTCCACCGCAGCCCTGTGGTTAGGAGCAAGTGCCAGCCTCTCTCCAGCTCAAGCTGAGGACCGTGAGCACAGTGGGCAGCGCAGTGGAGGTCACACGAGGGTCTGCGTCAGGAGGTGGTGACCGGGTGATTGCCTCCTGCCCCAGCTGAAGCATCAGGCATCTGGCAGGTGCCCATGAGCCTCTGTGACTGAGTCACCCGGGGAAGGGACCCTGCCTCTGCCTGTCCACCCCTCCCATTCCTCCACACTGAGTTCCCCCAGGGACTCTGGTCTGTCACTGGTGTCCTGGGGCCAGTTCCACCCTGGGCAAGATTCCCTTCACGCGGTTCTGGGGCTGAGCGAGCAGAGGGACAGGCGCTGGACGCACTGCACTGGGGGCTGGTGTGTGCAGCCCCCTCTCCCGCCCTGCCCCCAGCCCCGCCTGCCCCTCCCCCTTCCCACCGCTCAGCGCTGTCAAGGCTCGTTGGAGACCTCCTCCATCAGCTCCCCTGGGGCTGCCTGGCTGCTGCAGCTTGTCAGAGGGACTGCCCGGCTGGGCCTGCTCTGGCCACCTGAGCCCGCCTCTGGAGGCAGCCCCGAGTCCAGGCCCTCTTCTCTGGGGCACCTGCACTGTCACTGCCTTGAAGGGCGCAGGCTCCTTGGCCAAGGCTGGCTGAGAGTGAGGGACGGACCTGGGACCACCCGGATGGGACCCGCTCTCCCCTGCACCTCCTCCGCCAGACCGCCAGCCGGGAAAGCAGCCACCGTTTCTGCCTTCAGACTGGGAGCTTCAGAGGGAGGGTCGCGGCTCCTCCATCAGACTGGGGAGTCTCAGGGCAAGGCCACGGGTTAGGAAGTCAGTGGTGGCCACTCAGGAGGGAAAGGGTGGCGAGTTCAAAGGCAGCCCAGGCAATTTAGTGAGACCTGTCTCAAAGGAAAATGAAAAGGCTCAGTGGGTGGACACCTGCCCATCACCTGCAAAGCCCTGGGTTCCATCCCAGCACAGAAAGGAGGAAGGAAGGGAGAGAGGGAGGGAGGGAGGGAGAGGGAGGGAGAGAGGGAGAGAGGGAGGGAGGGAGAGAGAGGGACGGAGAGAGGGAGAGGGAGAGAGAGAGGGAGGGAGAGAGAGAGAGGGAGGGAGGGAGGGAGGGAGAGAGGGAGGGAGGGAGGGAGGGAGGGAGGGAGAGAGGGAGGGAGGGAGGGAGGGAGGGAGGGAGAGAGGGAGGGAGGGAGGGAGGGAGGGAGGGAGAGAGGGAGGGAGGGAGGGAGAGGGAGGGAGAGAGGGAGGGAGGGAGGGAGGGAGGGAGAGAGGGAGAGAGGGAGAGAGGGAGGGAGGGAGGGAGAGAGGGAGGGAGGGAGGGAGGGAGGGAGAGAGGGAGGGAGGGAGGGAGGGAGGGAGAGAGGGAGAGGGAGGGAGAGAGGGAGGGAGAGAGGGAGGGAGGGAGGGAGGGAAGGAGAGAGGGAAGGAGGGAGGGAGGGAGAGAGGGAGGGAGGGAGGGAGGGAGAGAGGGAGGGAGAGGGAGAGAGGGAGAGAGGGAGGGAGGGAAGGAGAGAGGGAGGGAGGGAGGGAGAGAGGGAGGGAGGGAGGGAGAGAGGGAGGGAGGGAGGGAGGGAGGGAGGGAGGGAGAGAGGGAGGGAGGGAGAGAGGGAGGGAGGAAAGGGAGGGAGGGAGAGAGGGAGGGAGGGAGGGAGAGGGAGAGAGGGAGAGAGGAAGAGAGGGAGGGAGGGAGGGAGAGAGGGAGGGAGGAAAGGGAGAGGGAGAGAGGGAGGGAGGGAGGGAGAGGGAGAGAGGGAGAGAGGAAGAGAGGGAGGGAGGGAGGGAGAGAGGGAGGGAGGAAAGGGAGAGGGAGAGAGGGAGGGAGGGAGGGAGAGAGGGAGGGAGGGAGGGAAGGAGGGAGAGAGGGAGGGAGGGAGAGAGGGAGAGAGGGAGGGAGGGAGAGAGGGAGGGAGGGAGGGAGGGAGGGAGGGAGGGAGAGAGGGAGGGAGGGAGGGAGAGAGGGAGGGAGGAAAGGGAGGGAGGGAGAGAGGGAGGGAGGGAGGGAGAGGGAGAGAGGGAGAGAGGAAGAGAGGGAGGGAGGGAGGGAGAGAGGGAGGGAGGGAGGGAGAGAGGGAGGGAGGGAGGGAGGGAGAGAGGGAGGGAGGGAGGGAGGGAGAGAGGGAGGGAGGGAGGGAGGGAGGGAGAGAGGGAGGGAGGGAGGGAGGGGGAGGGAGGGAGAGAGGGAGGGAGGGAGGGAGAGAGGGAGGGAGGGAGGGAGGGAGGGCTACATTTCCCCAAACAGGTTAGGAACTTTTAAGCCCACCGTGAGCCACCAACACTCTCCCTGCCTGTCCTGGTGCCTGGGATGCCACCCGCCACCAGACTAATGAGGCTGCTCCATGAGAAGACCAAGGGGACAGGGGCAGGCACAGTCGGGGACAGGTGGAAGGCACAACCCTGGCCAGGAACCCCTCTGGTGGCCTCTGAAGTCCCAGCAAGCCTAAGTATACATGAAGCACCTACTACACGCCACGAGCTGCAGCCCGCAGCCTGGATGGACCTCGAGGACCTGCCTCAGTGAGAGAAGCAGACACGTTGGACAAGCCCGGGGTCCAGAGACAGGAAGTGGATTTAGGGTTCTGGGCCTGGGGAGGGCGCAGGGAACTACCACATGTTTATAGAAGGTTTTTTGAGATAACAAAAATGTTTTGGAACTAGACAGTGGTGACAGTCACAAAGCTTTGAGAATATACGGAAACCCACTGAGTTGTACCCTGTAATTTAATGTTCTTCATGGAGTGCGGGGAAGGAACCCAGGGTGTGGCTCTTGCTAGGAAAGCGCCCCCCAGCCCCCGAGAGAGGGGGTGAGTGCAGGGTGTGTAGATTATAACCAAAACACAAGCAGCATCCCAGACACAGCTGGCCACCAGCGTTCACAAGGGCCAGGACACCAACCACCGACCAGGCCCTACCCAAGGTGAGGTCCTGGGCTGAGCCTCCAGCACCTGGTTCTGGAGAACCAGGTGGGAACCCTGAGCCCCACTCACCCCGAGAGGCCTCCACAGCCTGCGTCTCAACCTCCAAAGGAAAGGAGGTCCCCACTGCCCCAAGCCCCAGCCTGGCCGCCTCCTGGCCTCTACCCACAGTGCACCTCCGGCCTTCCCCCTGGAGCCCCTCCAGATCAGAAGGCCAAAGCCCTAGAGGTGTGCCCCCATCAAGGTCACACAGCCCAGCCATCAGCGAGCTGGCCCACCCCCAGCCTGGCTTCCTTCCTCTTGGCCCCCTCCCTCCCCTCCCCTCCCCCCACCCTCCCCCTCTCCTCTCCTGGGGTGGGGGCCACCGGCTGCAGCCAGTTCAAAAGCGCAGGGAAGTCAAACGGCGCTTGATTCTGCCTGGGGCCCTCTGATTGCTATTCCTGACGCGGACTGTAATTAGAAGGCCCCTTTCAAATATTTATACCTCAGACGCCTCCTATTTATCGGACGGAGAGGGGACTCGGATTTGATGAGATCTGTCAACAGCTCATCCCTGAGCCGGGAATTGCCTTGCGGCTGACAGAAAACAGGACAATTACCCGCCACGCTCCCAGGCGGTCTCTGGGGACGCTGCTGTCGCTGATGGGGGGGGGGGTGACGACTGTGGAAGTGAGCTGCAGGGGGAGGGTGGAGCTCAACAGGTGCTGTGGGGACAGCTGGTTCGAAGGGCAGATATGGAAGTGTGCAGACCCCCGCTGCTTTGGGGTCTTGGCCCTTGGGCTCTGGACCCGTTTCCCCATCTGAAAAATGGGGCTAATAGTGGAGGGGAGGGAGATCAGGGGGGACGGCTAATTCCACAGGAGATATTGGTGCCACCCAAGCCAGCCACAGGATGGTGTCCAGGCACAAAGGAGCCCCTGGGTAGCTGTGAGCCAGGCCACCTCCCGCTGTGCCTCAGCTTTCCCACAGGTAAAAGAGCGTCCTGGGTGGTAACTGCCCCCTCTGGCAATCCTTCCTGGGCTCTTGGGTTTCCCCGTTAGGATCCCCCTGTTAAGGAGGAGACCTGGGCACTAGGGAAGGCCCTGCCCTGGCCTGTGTCCTGAGGAGGGCTCAGCTCACAGGTAGTGCAGGTGACTTCCTCCAGGCCCCCGCTCCTCAGAGCTGTACTCCTGGGGGGCCTCGGTTCTTCCTGACACCCCTCACTCCAGTTACTAAGGGGAGCCCAGCAAGTGCCCGCCTGAGGAGAGAAAAGGCGCCCCCCCTTGTCTCTGACCCCCACACCTTGGGTGCCCTCCCCCCAGGCAGCTGCAGCGACCAGGACAGGCAGACCCCCCTCACTTCTTCCCCGCTTCCAGCCTCCCGCCCTGGAAGCCACAAAGGGACAGATGCGAGGCCACCAGACAGGCACAGATACCATCTCCCTTACCCGGCCAGCTGCCCCAACCCCTCCCGGCCTTGCAATGGGTCCCCTGGGGAGGGAGAGAGCCGAGACCTCAGGGGGAGGGGAGGCCAGTCCTCGGGGGGCCCTCCGCGGCGTGTCAATTTCAGCCAGTGACCTCTCCGACAGTCCCACCCCCTCCACTGCCTGGTCATCGGCTCAATTTCGGCCCTCAATAGCGGTCACTCTCATCCCATCTCCCGGTCAATTTCGTCCCTTCTGGCGGTCAAGTCCAGCCCCCCCCCCCCCGCCCCCGCTCCCGGGAGGCTCTGCCTCCCGGGTCCTCTGGCGCCGGCCGGCGAGCTGTGTCCGCCCCAGGCTGTGCCCACCTGCCGCGCTCCTCTCTCGCCTCGGCGCATCTCGGGCCTCCGGGTCAGTGTCCAGCTGCCGCGGTCTCGGCCCCAGCGACTCCTGCGCCCCCAGCCCCCTTCCCTCGGCGGCCGCGGCTCCCCTCCCTCCCTCCCTCCCCGGACCAGCTGAAGGTCTCTGTCACCTCAGAGGGGAGCGCAGGGGAGGGGAAGGGCGGGGAAGCCTTGACGTTGCTTCCCAGGACGCGGCCCGGGGCGGGTAGGGACGGGGCGACCGCGGGAGCGCCCCCTCCCCAAAGTCCCACCTCGCGGCCACGCGCGCCCGCGGTCGCGCGTAAAGTCCCCGAAAGCTTGAACGCGGATTGCAGGAGGTTTTTATTTCCCTTTGTGCGGTGGCTGGGGCCGGATGGAGGCAGCCGGCCGGGGGCCTTGGGATTAGGGCTCCCCCCAGCGCGGAGCGGAGAGCAACAAAGGATGTACCCTGCCACCGTCCCCGCCGCGCAACTTCGCGCGCGGCGCTCGCGCCCCAGGGGAGCCGGCCAGCTGCGCTGAGAAGCCAGGCGTCCCGGCTGAGCAGGGCTGGGGGCGTCCTCGGGCGCCGCTCCCCGGACCTCGGAGCCCCAGCGAGGATCCCGGAGCCTCCCAGGCGGCGGAGGCGGCGCCGCACACGGGAGTGCGCTGCCCGCGCAAAGTCTGCGCGCTTCCGCGGATGCCCCTCGCCCCGGCCCTTCGACCCCGCGCGCGCCGCGTTCAGGGACTTGCCGGGCGCCCTTCACCCTGTGGTGCTTGGAGAGCGAGCTAAGGTGGGCTTCCTCCTCCCTCCTCTTTCTCCTCCTCTCTCTCCCTCTCTCACCTCTTCACCTTGCCCCTGTTGAGCCCAACCGAAGGGCACACCTGAGCTCTTCCCCCTCCGTCTCCTCCTTTCCCTCCTGCACTCCTCCCCTCTGAGAAGGGACCCAAAACAGGTATGTGGGTCCCTCTCTTACAGCAGCCAGGTTTGGGGTGACACAAGCCCAAATGGCCAAGTGGCTTCGGGACTACCTGAGCTTTGGCGGTCGGAGACCCCCTCCGCAGCCGCCCACCCCGGACTACACGGAGAGCGATATCCTCAGGGCCTACAGGGTGCAGAAGAATCTGGACTTTGAGGACCCCTATGAGGACTCTGAGAGCCGCCCAGAGCCAGACCCTGCGGACCCCGGAGACACCAAGGGCCACGGAGACTCCAAGTTCGACTCTCCCAAGCACCGGCTCATCAAAGTGGAGGCCGCAGACATGGCCAGAGCCAAAGCCTTGCTGGACAACCCCGGGGAAGAGGTGCGTGCCTGGGCAGCTCCGCAGACAGCGGTGCGGGACACTGGGTGCCAGGGTCCTGCTCTGGTCCCCGATCCAGGGAGCGTGGTTTATGCAGGATCCCAGAGGTAGGCAGGGCACCGGACACTTCTGCCCCCACCTGCTCAGCAGAGTCTGATACCTCTTTTAAATACGTGGAGCTGGCCGTCCTGCGGGGGCGGGAGACACCAGCTCCCCCAGAATCCCCTCCTTTGAGCTTTGCCCTTGGCAACTGGCCCCAGCTTGGAAGACAGATGCCAGCAAAGGTTCCCTAGCCATGCTGCCCCTCCTACTTGATTTCCATTTTACAAAAGTGGAAGCTAAGGCTGGCAGGAGAGAAGTGACTTTCCAGCCCAAGGTCAAAGCCTGGCACCTTAACTTTGGAACCTAACCCAGAGCTGCCTCCAGTGCCCACCCTTCTTGTCAACATGGTTTTTAGCCTCAGCAGACTATGGCTCACCAAAGCTCTCTTGGTGGGTGGTTGAGAGCACAGGGAGATAAAAGGAGGAGGGAACACAGAAGGCTGGGATCAAACTGCCTCACACTCACCAGATGTGTGACCTGCCCAAGTCACTTGCCCTCTCTGTGCTTTGGTTTCCTCGCCTGTAAGATGGGGCCTGTGTACTTGCTGAGTGTTGCTCTTGCAGATAAACACATGCAGAGCATCTAGTACAGGGGGACGTAAGCTGGGCCAGCTGGAATCCGTGACACCACCCATCTGGGCTCTCTGGAGCTCAGCTGGTCTCCCTAGCTCTCTCCCTTCCTCTTTTCCCAGCTGGAAGTTGACACTGAGTATTCAGACCCCTTTGATGCCCAGCCTCACCCGCCACCCCCAGATGATGGCTACATGGAGCCCTATGACGCCCAGCGGGTCATAAGTGGTGAGTGAGCAGGGCTGGGGAGGTGTCAAGTCCCCAGGGGATGGGGGCTGACCCGTGTCCTTGGCCTCCCAGAACTGCCCTGCGGCGCGGGGCTACAGCTGTATGATACTCCTTATGAAGAGCAGGACCCAGAGCGGGGGGACGGGCCCCCTTTTGATCAGAGGCCTCGGCAGAGTCGGCTGCCCCAAGAGGATGAACGTCCAGCAGATGAGTATGACCAGCCCTGGGAGTGGAAGAAAGACCACATCTCCAGAGCATTTGCAGGTGCTTCTCTGAACCAAACCCTGACCTCTGAATGGCCCATCCTCCATTTCTTCATCTAGTCACATCTCTGCATCTATTTATAAAGTAGAGCCCAATTACCTGCCATGAGATAATTCATTGATTCTCACTAAAGTCGGAATGGCTGATAGTCACAAATTCTTCCCCCCAGGAAAACCTGCATATTCTTTGGCAACTGAAAGGCCTTGTGAAATAAAACCTAACTCATTCTGCTCAGCATAGTGCAGGGAAAGGAACAGGGCTTTGGTCAACACTAGACCTGGGTTTGTGTCACTTCCTTGGACAAGTCACTGAGTCTTAGTTTCCTTACCCACAAAATAAAAGGTCATCACAGTACCTACTGAACAGAGTTCTTGTAAACTGAATGCTGGCCAGGGCCCAATGACAGGAGAGCTGTTAGATGGGAAGGGCAGGATCCTCTAGTTGTGTCAGTCAGGAGGACTTGGGGTCAATCCCTAGCTGAATTGAGGGAACTTGACTGAGTCTCTGAATCTCAGTTTCCTCTTGTATAAAAATAGTAACAATAAGATCAGCTTTAAAAAAATAAAAGAACTCAGGCTGGGCATGGTAACACATGCCTGTAATCCCAGCAGTTCGGGAGTCTGAAGCAGGAAGACCTCAAGCTCAAAGCCAGCCTCAGCAATCTAGCAAGGCCCTGAGTAACTTAGCTAGACCGTGTCTAAAAATAAATAAAAAAAACAAAAAAGGGCTGGCGAGGTGGCTCAGTGGTTAAGTGTCCGTGGGTTTCAATCCCTGGCACCAAAATAAATAAATAACTCAGGCTGGGTGTGGACTCAAGAGGCTGAGGCAGGAGAATCGCAAGTTCGAGGCCATTCTCAGCAGATTGGGGAGATCCTGTGTCAAGTAAAACAGAATAATAATAGTAATAACAACGACAATGACCACGTTCAATCCCCAGTACTACTACTACTACTAAATAAAACAACTCAGGCCAGGAAGGTTTGCCCACATGACCTTGCCTCAAAAGTTGTATGACTGGGAGGGTGTTTGGGACTCATTGCTTCCACCCACTGTATTTATATGGAGGGTGGTCTCCAGTTTTAAGACTTGGTCCAAATTGGAACAGAACCCGAAGGGAACTCAGCCCTAGGTGCTCTGTAATCCGACCTGCTCTTTGATTTGATGCTCCTGCTGCTGCCCCGCCCCTTCCGTGCCCCCAGATTTATGATTTGCCACGCCCCTCTCTTCTGAAAGCCAATTGGCTGCTCCTGTGTCAATCCTTTCATTATTTAGCCTAGCTCCTCCTTTTGTGAGCTCTGATAGGTGATCCAAACTGGCACCGCCTCCCCAATGAAATTTCATTGGCTTGACTCTGCCCCGCCCCCTTGAGGTGGACTGGACTTAACTCTTTCTTCTCTAACCCTCCCCTTCCAGTGCAGTTTGACAGTCCAGAGTGGGAAAGGACCCCAGGCTCAATCAAGGAGCTACGGAGACCCCCACCCAGAAGCCCCCAGCCCGCAGAGCGTGTGGATCCTGCTCTGCCCCTGGAGAAACAGCCGTGAGTGGGAGAGCTGAAGGAACTATCAACAGGCTCCGATTTACCCGACAGACGTTTTCCTTTTAAATTTGATTTATTATTATTTTTGGTACTGGGGATTGAACCACTGGCGCTCTATCACTGAGCTACGTCTCCAGATCCCCCTCCCGCAACGCACCCCCACCCTTTAAATGCTAAGACAGGGTCTTGCTGAATTGTGAAGGCAGGACTCGAACTTGCGACCTTCCTGCCTGGCCTCCCGAGTTGCTGGCATTACAGGTGTGCCCCACTGCACCGGCAGGCAGAAGTTTTCTTGTTTTCCCACCTGGGACCCTGGAACTGGGAAGAACTTGGATTCATTCATTTATTAACTTCATTAATTTCTTCAGCTAATCACTGCCCCCCCCCCACACACACACACTGCTTGCGAACCAGGCTCCCCGCAGATGAGGGCCCCTTCCCTTTGGAATCAGGTTCTGGGTTCAGACCCCTGCTCTGCATCTCCTACTGTGTGGCCCCAGTCAGGACCTTCCGCTTCTAAGCATCCAAGTTCAAAACCCCCTGGGTGCCTGGATCAGGGTAGGATCTCCTCCCTTCACTTGGGTAATTGGGAGGGGATTTTTTTTTTTTTTTTTTTTTTTTTTAAATATTTATTTTTTAGTTTTCGGCGGACACAACATCTTTGTTTGTATGTGGTGCTGAGGATCGAACCCGGGCCTCACGCATGCCAGGCAAGCGCGCCACCGCTCGAGCCACATCCCCAGCCCCAAGGGAGGGGATTTTGAACCTGCGAAGGACACAGGAATCATCCTCACCCCCAGAAGATCTTGGAATGGAACTGGGAGGAGCAGTTCGCTCAGAACTTTGTGCAGAAGTGTGCGGCCTGAGCTGAGGGGCTCTGGGTCTTCTGTGTCCCTCCAGCACTGGGAGCTCCTCAGGTGCTCTCCAGGCCCGGAGCCCAGGCCTTGCCCTCACCCCCAGGCCCAAACCTCTGCAGAGGGCGGGGCCTGTTACCTCCCATGAGGCCCAGAGTGAGAGGAGCCTCTTAAGTTTTCTTTGATAGAAACCAGCAGCTGGGTGCTCCTCTCTCTGGCTCATGCTCAGTTCTTTTTTTTTTTTTTAAGCACAATTAATGAAAAATATTAAGTGCAGAACGGGTGGGGGCAGGGTACAGGATGTGGCAAAGCAGATGAGAGAGACTGAAGTTGGGGACTAGGGAGGGCTGCTGAGGCCGGGATGCCAGGCAGGCTCCAAGATCAGGTGATGCTGGGGCTGTAGCTCAGATACAGTGTGATGCCCTTGAACTCACCCTCAGCACAACAAAGGAGAAAGGGGGTGGGGGTCAGGTGCCCATGCTGAATGGCCCCAGCCCCAGCTCCTCCCAAGGAGACTTCCTGGCTTGTTTGGGGGATGTCACAAGATCCTGCACCTGCCTGGCCTGACCTTCCCCCAGGGTGTCAAAGGGCAGTGGCCTTCAGGAGACACCTGCCCCTGCCTGCAGGTGGTTTCATGGACCGCTGAGCCGCGTGGATGCCGAGAACCTCCTGTCACTCTGCAAGGAAGGCAGCTACCTCGTGCGGCTCAGTGAGACCAGCGCCCAGGACTGCTCCCTGTCCCTCAGGTGAGACCCCAGCCTTGCAGGGACAGAGTGTCACAGGACCACATGCCTCATACTTGGGGTTAATAAGGTGGGAGCAAGCTGGACACTGTGAGCTGTGGTGCCGGTGGCCACACCTGTCACTCCATCGGCTCTGGAGGCTGAGGCAGGAGGATCATGAGTTCAAAGTCAGCCTCAGCAACTTAGTGAGGCCCTAAGCAGCTTAGTGAGACCCTGTCTCTAAATAAAATATAAAAAGGGGTTGGGGTTGTAGCTCAGTGGCAAAGCATCTGCCTAGCATGAGTGAGGCACTGGGTTCGATCCTCAGCACCACATAAAAATTAACAAATAAAATAAAGGCATTCTGTCCATGTACAACTACCAAAAATAATAAAATATAAAAAGGGCTGGGATGTGGCTCAGTGGTCGAGTTCCCCTGAGTTCAATCCCCAGTTCCTGTGGCCCCCACCAAAAAAAGACAGTTTGGAAGTTTGGAGAGAGAATGGACCAAATCTAGGGGTGCTAGGAGTGAGCCAAGAGGGGTCTTAGAGCCCCCAGCGTTAGGGTTGGTCCCTTCATTGAATGAACATTAATTGAGCATCTCCTATGTTCCTGGCCCTGGTCTAGGTGCTGACACTCTGGCTGTGCCAGAGATCAAGACAGTCTCTGAGATAAGGGCTAAGAGCCATGTGAGACCCTGGGAAGTCACAGGGGGCTGAGGGTGTCTCTGAAAAGCGACACTAGCTGAGTGGGAGGATTCCCTGGAAGGGAAAGGCTCCCTTCCCCTGGCCACAGCGGAGTGTGGTGTGAATGTGCCTGGGGCACCTCGTGCCACAGGGCCACACTGCTGGTGGGTCCACCCAGGCAGGGCCTGGAGGGAAGGAAGTGAGGTCCCACAGAGGGCACCTGCTCCACTCAGACGCAGGTGAGCGCTGGGCCTGCCCAGGAGGACCTCAGGTCTACAGGACAAGCCTGCCAAGGCCGTCCTGCCTGTGGGTGGTGGCTGACCACTGGCCACCAGACCTTGGCTTTTTGGAGGCGCCTGGGGAGCCAGCACCCACCCTGCCAATTGTGAGGGGAGCTTGGGGGCAATGGAGAGTGTGGGTGGGTCTGGGGAGCTCAGGGCCACCTTTGCCCCCTGACCCCCAGGAGCAGCCAGGGCTTCCTGCATCTGAAGTTCACGTGGACCCGAGAGAACCAGGTGGTGCTGGGGCAGCACAGTGGGCCCTTCGCCAGCGTGCCCGAGCTGGTCCTGCACTACAGCGCTCGCCCGCTGCCGGTGCAGGGAGCCGAGCACCTGGCTCTGCTGTACCCCGTCACCAGTCACCACGCCGAGACCTTGAGTCGGCTGAGAGGGCCCGACATCCTGCCGCTCAGCAGAGGTCTTTCTGGTCCCTGAGGAGGACTGGGGAAGGGATGGACACACAGACCCCCTCCCCGCCCGCCCGTGCCAAGTCTCCATCAGAGTGGCCTTCCGGGTCCCCGCTGTGTTCCAGGGCCCAGATGGTGTCTAAAAGCCCTCCCCTGGCCCGGCAATAAAGAAGCTGCTGTCTTTGTCCAGTGTCCTTTCTGGGCCGCAGGGAGGTGGGGATCGCAGAGACAGAGCCTGGGTGGCCATTGCAGCCTGAATTGGCCCCAGGGGTGTCCAGTGAGGTGTGGGGAGAGTCCCGGCGCCCTGCAGAGGCACTGGCCCCTTGGAGGACTAGGAGAGAGGCCTTAGAGGGGCAAGAGCCTCCCCAGCTCTTTGTTTTGGGGTCCAAGGCAGGGTCGGAACCGGATACTGGACGGGGTCTCAGGGGGAGGTCTGCAGGCAGGAAAACCCCAGGGGTCGGGGGAGGACCCTCAGATAGGAAGACGGAGAGAGGCCAGATCAGCAGAAAGGACATCTGTCCCCATGGAAACAGCAGAAGTGGGGGAGGGGAGCAGGCGCAGCTGGTGTCACTTCAAGGTGACAATCGGACTAGAGACCTGCTGGCTGGTAAACACCAGGGAGCCCGTGGAGGGGAGGGACCAGATGGGCAGGGAGGGGTCTTCCAGCGCTGGACACTGCTAGCAGGACAGGCGACGCTTCCCTGCTCCTTGGCCATGTCCCCACCATTGTCACAGAGTGCCTGGGCATAGCCTCTGCAGCCCTCCCTGGGGCTCTGGAACACCCCGATGACCACTGAGTGTTCTCAGCGCCCCCAATTCGCCATGAGCTGCAGCTTTGCTTTCTGCAGGATCCTCTGTTGGATGTCCCTGGGCCGCGGGGGGCTCCTCTGAGTCTCCTGAGGAGTGGGCTGTCGGCGTCCCCTCCTCCCGTGGAAGCAGTAGTAGCTCATGTGGTCCTTGGCCGGTCCCCTTGGGTCTCCAGGGGTCTAGATTCCTCTTCTGACTTCCCAGGACCCTCTTTGCCGGCCTTCCGAGTGGGGCCTGGGCCAGGAGAGACCCCGATGTGGGATGGGGGGGCCTGGGCTGGGCAGTGGGGAGGCCTACAGCTCCGCAGGGTCCAGCACCTTCCCTCTCCAGGCTGGGCTCCTTCTTCCTTGGTGTCCCATGGGGCATTGCAATAGAGTGGACATCCTCAAGGGAGGCGTCCCTCCGCGGTCCCCCTCTGGAGCTGGGTCTCTGAGGCAGGCGGGTGTGCGGCCAGCCTTCTCCAGTTCCGCGGCCGCCCCCCCTGGCCAGGCAGCGGCCGTCCCCAGCGGGCACCCGGCCGCCCCGCCCCGCCCGGTCCCTGCTCTCTCCCCTGAGTCCCACCTGCTGCTGGGGCGGCGACAGAGACCCGGGATCCCAGCGCCCAGCGCCAAGGCACAGCTGCGCTTGGCACCCCGCCACCAGCAGCTCCTAGAGGAGACTGGGGGAGGGCGCGCAGATTGCGGGGACCTGGGCTGGCCGGGGAGGGACGCGCTGGGGGATTATAGATCCCTGTCACCCCATGCAGAACTGAATTTAGGCAGGTGTTCTTGCCTGTCTTGTTGGGTCACTGGAACAACTGAACACTGGGGGCTTATCATGAGCTCCAGGGTCCTCATTGTGAGCCCTGTCACCCCCACGACAGGCTCCAGCTCCCCAGAACTCCATCCCCCTCCTTGGCCATCACTCTCACCGAGCGTGGTCACTTTTCCCATGACACCATCACACTCCTGGCTCCTGCTGTTTGAATTGCTACTCTGGCCAAACCCATTTACAGATGGGAAACTGAGGCTCAGAGCACCTAAGTCATTGCCAGGGATCCCACACCCAGGTAGCAACAGGGACCCGCTTTGAACAAAGGCCTTCCTCACCTCTGTCCCCACTTCCCTGTTTCAGAGTAAAACATGTTTTCACCAATCTGAACCTGTGTCTTGCTGAATAAGCATCATAGACATGACACTATCTTATGTTTATTGAGGGCTTACTATGTCCCAGACCCATACTAATAGATGCAACCACTCTCAATTCACCCACCTAGCTAGGAAACCAAGATCAGCTGTATTTTGACAGCTGGACAGGGACAGAGATATCAAGTTACTTGTCCAAGGTCACGCAGCATGTCAATGAAAAAAGTAGAGTCTGAATCCAGGTCTGTGTAACTGACATAAACCCAGCCAGAAGCTCTGGATGCCGGGACTGATAAGGTCCTGCACCCCAGCCTGCTCCTCTCGCAGGTGCCGAGGTGGGCAGGTGGCCCCTGGATGCTGCCAAGCCTTTGTTCCCAGATGAAGAAGCCAGCTGTGTGCAGCTGGGTGGGGTCCCTTGCAGCTGCCAAGGCACCACCTGGAGCCTTTGACTCACTTCTGCTAATTGCTAATTGGCCCCCTTGACAGTGCAGGGGTGGGGACACGTCACTCAGCCACAACACATCACCCCATGGCAGGTACCCACCCTCACCAGCTGGAGAGGAAAGGCTTCTCTTGGGGCCGAGCCAGAAGCTCTAACTCAGCTGCTGGGTGCTGAGCATGTGCCGAGGCTGGGGGCAACCACAGAGGGCAGGAGCCACCGAGGGGGCAGAAGCCAGGTGGCATGGGCTGGGTCTGGCCCTGCACGGGTCTGTCCCCAGAGACAGTGTCATGGCGGGGTGGAGTCATGTGAGCTGGGATCCAGGAAACTGTCCACTTCCCTGTTTCAGAGGTCCCTGGACACCTCTGGGCTCTCTCTGGGCCTCAGCCTCCTCATCGGTAAAAGGGAGCAGCTGGCTTTGCTGATCTGGAAAGTTCCTGCCAGCTTTGAGCGTTGATGGCTTTCCGTTGCGGATTCTGGGTTCTCTGCTCCTTTGCACCCTAAGACTGTACAACACTGAGTCTGATGCTTAAGGTACTACGTGCGAGTCTAAGATTCTAGAATCGTCCAGTTCTTTATCTTGGGGCTTTCTCACTCTCCTTTTCATTACTAATAAGGAAAGGAGATGCTTTAGATGTTTCTTAAAAATTCTTAATTAGTTCCCCTATGAAATTTTATTCCTTTTGGGTATTTTATAAATCTACTTGTGTTCTGTAAGTGCATCTAAGCTTTTACATGTGAAAAGAGGACACAAAGAGCCAGGCACATGGTCACGCCTGTAATCCTAGTGGCTTAGGAGGCTGAGGCAGGAGGATCACAAGTTCAGAGCTACCTCAGCAACAGTGAGGTGCTAAACAGCTCAGTGAAACCTTGTCTCTAAATAAAATAAAAAAAAATAAAAAGGGCTGGGGATGTGGCTCAGTGGCAGAGCACTTACCTAGCATACAAGAGGGCTGGAGTTCACCCGCAACACCAGAAAAAAAAATTTCTTTCTTTTTTTTTTTTGTACCAGGAATTGAATTCAGGGGCACTTGACCACTGAGCCACATCCCCAGCCCTATTTTGTATTTTATTTATTTTTGGTGGTGCTGGGGATTGAACCCAGGGCCTTGTACATGCAAGGCAAGCACTCTACCAACTGAGCTATATCCCCAGCCCCCCTGTTTTATATTTTATTTTATTTAGAGACAGGGTCTCACTGAGTTGCTTAGCGCCTCACTTTTGCTGAGGCTGGCTTTGAACTCACAATCCTCCTGCTTCAGCCTTCTGAGCTGCTGTTATTACAGGTATATGCCACCATACCAAGCTACGAAAACTTTTTTTTAAAGGAAAATCTGGTTTTGTCAGTAAGACCAACATCCACCTCCTTAGAGACAATACATGCTTTAAATCAAAGTGCCTAGAATTTTCTGTCCCTATGATCCTAGAACTGCAAGATTCTATTTTGTGGTTTGAGATTCTGGAATTGTCCTAGGTACAGAAATGTCTACATATCTTCACCAAAAGACAAGCAGCCCAGCCAGGCACGGTGGCACACGCCTGTAATCCCAGCAGCTGGGGAGGTTGAAACAGGAGGATCTCAAGCTCAAAGCCAGCCTCCGCAAAAGTGAGGCGCTAAGCGAGTCAAGGAGACCCTGTCTCTAAATAAAATACAAAATAGGGCTGGGGATGTGGCTCTGGCTACCCATAATAGCCAGAAACCAGAAGAAATTGAGTTCCATGACAATGTGGTCACCTGTGGCCCTACAGCAAGGAAAAAGGAGCCACCACCAGGTGTATCACTACAGGTGAATTCCTCCGATGTCATGTTGAGTGCAAAAAGCCAGACACAAGAGGACACTCCATGGATGCATTTAAGTGAAACAAACCCCAGGCAGAAGAGATTCATGCTCTGAGCAGTCAGGACAGTGCCAGGGATGGAGTAGCAGCTCTCAGGAGGTGATGGGGGACCCCAAGGGCTCTGGAATTTGTGATTTCCAGCTGGGTGGTGGTAGATACCTGGGTCAGCTGCATATTCTGGACGTGTGCCTTTCTCTGCAGGTGGAATATGTTTTAACAACACTTTAAGATTCTGGAATTATTTTGATCAAAACTACAGAATCACATGTTTCCAAGAGCCTTATGATTGTGAAGTTCTGAGCAGGAATCAGAAAACTTCCAGCTGTGGGCCAAGTTCAGCCTATGAGCTGTGTTGTTTTTTTTTTTTTGAGCTGTGTTTTTTAAATAAAGATTTTTTTAAAAAATAGATCTTTATTTATCTGGGGTGTCCTCATCTTTGCAGGATGTCCGACCTGAGTCCCAGGTGAGGAATTCAGGGTTGATGTTTGAGAGTCAAGAGTCCCAGTGTCCGGAATCTTCCCCTCCGCGGCTCTCACACCTGTGACTGCCAGGAGCTGCAGGAGGTGCCCTCTTCTGGGCCAGCCCAGGGCCTCCATGGGCGCCCAGCACACATAGTCCCTGCTGCCCTTGGAGCCCCCTGTGGGCTGGCCCCAGGGTGAGGTCCTCAAGCTGAGGCTGCTGCTGGTAATGAACAGCTGGCACAAGATGTCCTTCTCCTTGGTCTGTGCCACTCAGAGCCATTCCCAGACCCTGACCTGGGTCACCAGGTGAGGCAGGGTCACCTCACTGCCCAGCCTGACCTGCATGCTCAGGCCTGTGGCTCCCTGCAGGGTTGCAGAGAGGCCAGGGCTCTGTCAGCCTGCAGTGTGCACAGGCGCCTGCTGTCCAACCCCAGGGAGCCTGGGGGAGGGTTTGGAGCCTAGACCTGAGAGGCACTGGGGGGGCACAGTGTGGTCACTGGCGGTCAGAGTGATAC